TGTCCAGGTCTGCCAAACAGCAAAGCTGTCCCACACCATCACACTGCCACCTCCCTGTTTGACTGTTGGAATGTTATGTTTCTGAAGAAGACTCGTCTTTTCCAGAATATTGTTCCAAAAAGTTTGGAAATCATCAAAAGCCTTTTTCCCAACGTCAGAGAGTTCAAAGTGGTTTCCTTCTGAAAACGTGATTTGGTTTCTCATTGCTGAGTCATGAGCAGAGACGCTATAATCTGGCATAATCTGCAGCGCTTAATGTTATTCTGGGCTCATTTAGGCTCTGGATGGATTAATGATGCACTTTTATTGTATTTCCATGGACTGACGCCTCCTTTACTTCAGGTATAGATGATGTCGTTATGCATGCTCCACTTGGAGCCTTAAAATACCGTAAATTCTCTAATATAGGCCCGGGCCTTTATTTCACTCAAGTGCATCTTGGTCCAGGCCTTTATTGGAAGGAGGCCAGAATTAGAGACAGGCCTCTATTGCTATTTGAGCAAAACAGACTACCAGTGGAATGAATAAAAATGAGATTTTGTGTCTATTTGAACCTATAAAACACTAGGTTCATTTATTGAACAAGAACAGTTACCATAACGGTATACAGAAATTTAACAACAAATAGCCTACCTGTAATTCAGGCTAAATTCCAGTGGAAAAAAACGTCGCAAACATACCAGTAGTGCAACTAGTGCAATGTAAACACTTAACCATACATGGTGATAATTAGGCTGTTTTATAACAAAAAGCAACTTACAGGTTTAGACACCTCCTCGCTCACTCAAATTGTCTCACTTGGTGTGAAGTAAAAAAAAAAATCCTCCAACTCTGTTTAATCCTCCTCCTCAGTTTCCTCCTCCTCTTCATCTCTCCCTGTATTCTCCTCATCACTCGCGCCAGTCTCTATCACAAGTTCATTATTGTACAGTTTCTCTTCGTCCTCCTCATGTTTTGCTGTGTGTCTGTTTTCTTCCTCGCGCAGACGGGCAGCAGTCAGGGCCTGTCGTCCAGCAGCGCAGGGCTGGGGTACTTGTATGTTACTACCACAAGTATAATGTTGAGGTATGCCCAGAAAAAACGTTTATAGCCCCGGCCTGTATAAGAGACGGGCCATTATTTACCTCCGCCATCAGTGAGACAGGCCATTATTAGAGACCCGGCCACTAATGGAATACAGGCCAATATTAGAGAATTAACGGTACTTTATTTTTTTTCAACATTTTCCAGACTGACGGATGTTAAAAACTTTCTTTGCCCTCCTCTGTGTAATGAGTTCAGATTTTAAATCACTGTGTTTAAATTAAAAACTGTTTTTGAATGTTGTTTATGCTTGAATTCATTAAATATTTGATTTTAGGTTTAGTGCAACTCTGATATATATGAAGCAAATGGGTTCAGAGTCTTCAGAGTTCTAAAGCTCCAATTCCCATCATGTCATCTCAGGTCACTTTATAGATCCAGATCATCCAGTCAGATTGATTCAAAGTTTTCTATCTAAGGAAAACCAGCTGATTGCATCGACTCATTGACTCTTCAGCAATCCCTCACACTAAGCATGCTTGTAGCGACAGTGGAGAGGAAAAACTCCCTTTGAACAGGAAGAAACCTCCAGCAGAACCAGGCTCAGTGTGAGCGGCCATCTGCTGAGGCCCACTGGGGTTCAAGGAGACAGAAGCAGACATAGAAAAAGAAGCATAGATACAAAAGGCAGCTGTAAAAGGCGGCCCAGTTCTGGAAACACACAGCCAGAAAGGTCCACAGCCATGGGAGGTGGCTCCAGCCAATCTCGAACATCTAGAAACAAAGGTGTTAAGAATAGAGATAGAATGAGGAAAAAGGGGTCCCTATGTCCTCCAGCAGTCTAAGTGAGCAGGGCGGGATTTTGTCCCCAGTTCTCTTTAACTTGTATCTGGATGAACTGTCACACAAGTTGAGAGCTTGTCACACTGGTTGTGTGGCTGGTGACTCGGTACTTAATCACCTGATGTATGCAGATGATTTAGTAATATTTAGCCCTAGTACTGCTGGGTTACAGCAACTACTAAACATCTGCTCTGAGTATGGTCTGGAACACGACATAAGGTACAATCCATCTAAAAGTGTGATCATGATCTGTAGGAGTAAGGAAGATAAATCTACTGAGTTTCCAGATTTTTTGCTGTCAAATACTGTGCTGGGCGTAACAAATAAAACCAAGTATCTTGGGCACATCATCACAGAAAATCTGTCAGACGATGATGATATTTGCAGACAATGTAGATTGTTGTATGCTCAAGCTAATACCCTTGCACGTAAATTCGGTTCATGTACTGATAAAGTCCAAGTGGAACTGTTTAATGCATATTGTACCTCTCTGTACACTGTTCACCTGTGGACTACCTATAGAAAAGTCAACCTGCAAAGGCTGCAGGTGGCCTATAATGATTCTATGCGGTTACTTTTGAAACGTCCAAGATGGTCCAGTGCAAGTGAGATGTTTGTCACAGCAAGAGTTAATACCCTACAAGCTGTTCTACGAAAGTTAATGTATAAGTTTATTTGTAGGTTAAATGCATCTGGAAACAATATTATTTTGTCACTCACTGATACCACACGTAGTGCAATCCGATATCAGTCTAAGCTGTGGAGACACTGGTATTCCTGTCTTCTTAAAGATCCTATTTAATCGATAATGGTACTTGTATTGTGTTTTTATCATTAACTAGTCATATATTGAACCCAAAATCACTAAAAATGCTTTATTTTTCATTGTTTTTGCCATATTTGATTTAATGTGTTGAAGTTTGGGGCAACATCTATAAGAGCACATTACAATCCATATGCACACTACAAAAAAGAGCAATAAGAATAATATGCAAAGTAGGATTTAGAGAGCACACCAATCGATTATTTATACAGCTATATGCATTAAAATTCACAGACCTGGTAAAATTCACGACAGCGCCAGTAATGTATAAAGTAAAAAACAAACTAGTGGCTAAAAATATAAATGAATTGTTTCAAGAACGAGATGAAAAATATAATTTTAGAGGAGATGCAGTATTCAGAACGAAGACGGTACGAACAGCGATGAAAAGAATGACTATATCAAGTAGTGGAGTGAAGTTATGGAATAGTCTACAGCCGTGTTTAAAGCAGAGTGTGAACATAAATTTGTTTAAGAGAAGGTACAAAAAATTACTTTGGGATAAATATGTAGAAGAGGAAAGATAAAAAACAGGTTGATTAATATGGAAGAGTGAATGTAACTAGTTAAATGAGCAACTTAGGTCTCTTGATTCATTAGGGATGGGAAACTTAAAAGTTTATACTTCGTCCCATTCCTTTTCGAACAATTTATTATGGTTTATGTATTCATTGTGTTGTGTTGTATTTACACATCTTATATTGTTTTGTTGTTCGAATAAATTGAACTGAACTGAACTGAACTGAACTATTTTTATTTTATTTTTATGTATGTATTTATTGGACCATGAGTCCGGAATAAAGTTTATCTATCTATCTATCTATCTATCTATCTATCTATCTATCTATCTATCTATCTATCTATCTATCTATCTATCTATCTATCTATCTATCTATCTATCTATCTATCTATCTATCTATCTATCTATCTATCTATCTATCTATCTATCTATCTATCTATCTATCTATCTATCTATCTATCTATCTATCTATCTATCTATCTATCTATCTATCTCTATCTATCTATCTCTATCTATCTATCTCTATCTATCTATCTATCTCTATCTATCTCTATATCTATCTATCTATCTATCTATCTATCTATCTATCTATCTATCTATCTATCTATCTATCTATCTATCTATCTATCTATCTATCTATCTATCTATCTATCTATCTATCTATCTATCTATCTATCTATCTCTATCTATCTCTATCTATCTCTATCTATCTCTATCTATCTATCTCTATCTATCTATCTATCTCTATCTATCTATCTATCTCTATCTATCTATCTCTATCTATCTATCTCTATCTATCTATCTATCTCTATCTATCTATCTATCTCTATCTATCTATCTCTATCTATCTATCTCTATCTATCTATCTCTATCTATCTATCTCTATCTATCTATCTCTATCTATCTATCTATCTCTATCTATCTATCTCTATCTATCTATCTCTATCTATCTATCTCTATCTATCTATCTCTATCTATCTATCTCTATCTATCTATCTCTATCTATCTATCTCTATCTCTCTATCTCTATCTCTCTATCTCTATCTCTCTATCTCTATCTCTCTATCTCTATCTCTCTATCTCTCTATCTCTCTATCTCTCTATCTCTATCTCTCTCTATCTCTCTCTCTATCTCTCTCTCTATCTCTCTCTTATCTCTCTCTCTATCTCTCTCTCTCTATCTCTCTCTATCTCTCTCTCTATCTCTCTCTCTATCTCTCTCTCTATCTCTCTCTCTCTCTCTCTCTCTCTCTCTCTCTCTCTCTCTCTCTCTCTCTCTCTCTCTCTCTCTCTCTCTCTAGCAGCAGAACTATAGAGATAGATCAGGATAACCTGAGCCACTCTAACTAGAAGCTTTAGCAAAAAGGAAAGTTTTAAGCCTAGCCTTAAAAGTAGAACAGAATAATAATCCCATGAGATTCACATGCAGTTTATCTCGGGGCTTTGGTTGGCTCACATTGAGATCCATAACAAGCTTCTCCTTCTCCTGCTGTTTCATCCATGACATAAAGTGACTGTTTTAGATGCTTCTTGAGGGCTTTTAGCGGCCTACTTAGCAGGAAGTCATTACGGCGAGTATACAGTGTTCTCATTGTTTTAACTCTGCTGCTTTAGTTGCTTTAATAGCTTCTGGAAACGTCTGAGGTTTTTCTCTTTCTCACTAAAAATGTAAACAGTTTTTAGCGGGTCAGAGACCCCATCAAGCAAACATTTGCTAAAGTTCAGACTTCTTTGAACAAAATGAAACCGTTTTCATAATGATGTTGATTTTTGTTTTTTGGTCTCTTTAAGGCGTGCATCGATGAAAATGCAGAAATGGTGCAGTTCCTGGTGGAGAACGGGAGCGACGTGAACAGAGGGGACAATGAGGGCTGGACGCCTCTGCACGCTGCGGCCTCCTGCGGCTTCATCCAGATCACCAAGTGAGCAGGGGCGGATATAGGAAATGTGGGGCCCTAGGCAAAGACAGGCAGGGGGCCCTCTGCATTTAGAAGATAACACATAGAACAGCCCCATTCTCCAGATGTAGAAATGTTAATAGAATAGACATCCATTATCTGTTCTAGGTTGTGTCCCTCTCTTCTTGTCCCTTTTCTTCTTGTTTTCCTCTCTATGTTTTGTACTCAGCTGACTTTTCATGCTGTCTCTAAAGGAATGAAAGATTTTTTCCAAGCACTAAGCTCACTTAGCTGATTGCTCCTTCCTGTGTTTCCAAAAAGGCCAAAGTAAATAACCCAGTCCTTCTTTTCACTGCAGACAAGCCATGATCTGCTTATCTGTTCTCCATTTTTCATTTGGATGAAATAATAGCTGCATGAATCATGACAGCAGACAAGATAGAGGAGAGCAGGAGGCGGGGTTACCAATCTACTCGCTCTGGAGAGCAGAGTTCGCTGCTTTTAGATGTTGTCTCCAAAGTCTCCAGTAGCAGAAAAAAGTCTCTAGATTTGGCGCTAGGAGCTTTTTAGAAATCAAAGTGCTAGAGGGGTCTGAAAAGTGGCTAAATATAGCGACTAAAGCGCTAAGTTGGCAACACTGCTCTTTGCATGGTTTGTTTTCAAATGGTTTGCTGCTGTCTGTTTGGACCTTTCTGAACATGTGCAGCAAATGGACTGATCCAATATGGTGGACACTGAAGGGGGGGGCTGAGACACACTTAATATAATCAACGTTCTGATGGCATTTTAGCAAAAGGGTTTTTATCAAAAACATAAATAATGTGCACAAATAAGGAATAGTTGTGGAATGGATGTGAGTGCTGACCTCCGTGCCCCCCCCCCCCCCCCCACTGTCGGCTTGGTGTGCGACTCTTGACTGGAGTTTTTTCCCCAGTTTGAACTTGGACCCGTTTTATTTTCTTCTTATTGCTCCTTCCAGCCGATTGTGGACTGCTTGCTTCTTTGTTTTGCAGATATCTGATCGAGCACGGTGCTAACGTTGGTGCAGTTAACAGTGAAGGAGAGCTCCCTCTGGATGTGGCCACTGAAGATGCCATGGAGAGGCTTCTGAAAGCTGAGATCAAGAAACAAGGTGGGGGCTTTAACATCTCTTCACCTCTAAGGTTGAATCAATCCTGTCGAGTCAGAAAGGCGATTGTTTCATTAAAGTGGCGATAGAATGATTCTATAGGGTATGTGGTCCTTCAGGTCTCTAATAGGGTGATAGAATGATTCTATAGGGTATCTGGTCCTTCAGGTCTCTAATAGGGTGATAGAATGATTCTATAGGGTATCTGGTCCTTCAGGTCTCTAATAGGGTGATAGAATGATTCTATAGGGTATCTGGTCCTTCAGGTCTCTAATAGGGTGATAGAATGATTCTATAGGGTATCTGGTCCTTCAGGTCTCTAATAGGGTGATAGAATGATTCTATAGGGTATGTGGTCCTTCAGGTCTCTAATAGGGTGATAGAATGATTCTATAGGGTATCTGGTCCTTCAGGTCTCTAATAGGGTGATAGAATGGTTCTATAGGGTATCTGGTCCTTCAGGTCTCTAATAGGGTGATAGAATGATTCTATAGGGTATCTGGTCCTTCAGGTCTCTAATAGGGTGATAGAATGATTCTATAGGGTATCTGGTCCTTCAGGTCTCTAATAGGGTGATAGAATGATTCTATAGGGTATCTGGTCCTTCAGGTCTCTAATAGGGTGATAGAATAATTCTATAGGGTATCTGGTCCTTCAGGTCTCTAATAGGGTGATAGAATGATTCTATAGGGTATCTGGTCCTTCAGGTCTCTAATAGGGTGATAGAATGATTCTATTGGGTATCTGGTCCTTCAGGTCTCTAATAGGGTGATAGAATGGTTCTATAGGGTATCTGGTCCTTCAGGTCTCTAATAGGGTGATAGAATGATTCTATAGGGTATCTGGTCCTTCAGGTCTCTAATAGGGTGATAGAATGATTCTATAGGGTATCTGGTCCTTCAGGTCTCTAATAGGTTGATAGAATGATTCTATAGGGTATCTGGTCCTTCAGGTCTCTAATAGGGTGATAGAATGATTCTATAGGGTATCTGGTCCTTCAGGTCTCTAATAGGGTGATAGAATGATTCTATAGGGTATCTGGTCCTTCAGGTCTCTAATAGGTTGATAGAATGGTTCTATAGGGTATCTGGTCCTTCAGGTCTCTAATAGGGTGATAGAATGATTCTATAGGGTATCTGGTCCTTCAGGTCTCTAATAGGGTGATAGAATGGTTCTATAGGGTATCTGGTCCTTCAGATCTCTAATAGGGTGATAGAATGATTCTATAGGGTATCTGGTCCTTCAGGTCTCTAATAGGGTGATAGAATGATTCTATAGGGTATCTGGTCCTTCAGGTCTCTAATAGGGTGATAGAATGATTCTATAGGGTATCTGGTCCTTCAGGTCTCTAATAGGTTGATAGAATGATTCTATAGGGTATCTGGTCCTTCAGGTCTCTAATAGGGTGATAGAATGATTCTATAGGGTATCTGGTCCTTCAGGTCTCTAATAGGGTGATAGAATGATTCTATAGGGTATCTGGTCCTTCAGGTCTCTAATAGGTTGATAGAATGGTTCTATAGGGTATCTGGTCCTTCAGGTCTCTAATAGGGTGATAGAATGATTCTATAGGGTATCTGGTCCTTCAGGTCTCTAATAGGGTGATAGAATGATTCTATAGGGTATCTGGTCCTTCAGGTCTCTAATAGGGTGATAGAATGATTCTATAGGGTATCTGGTCCTTCAGGTCTCTAATAGGGTGATAGAATGATTCTATAGGGTATCTGGTCCTTCAGGTCTCTAATAGGGTGTGTAACATTGGTTGGGCTGAAAATGGCATATTAGCTGTTCTATGAGCCCTAATGCAGCCTGGTTAAAAGCCCTAGAATGAAACCACAGGTTTTCTTCCTTTTATGGTTTGATCATGAATATTTAGATGAGCTGTGCTCTGATTGGTTGGTTTACAACGAGCCAAGCTGCTGAGCAAAGACGCATCATAGCAACAAGCACTCACTCACTGAAACATCATTGATATGGTAGGGGGACCAGACGTCCTCTTTTTCCTGGACATGTCCTACTTTTCAGACCTAAAAAAATGTCCGGGGGGGAATTTAAAAATCGACTACAGCGCAGCACATAGTCTAAACACACCGGGCACTCGGACCGAGCCGTTAGCTCCAGGGCTGGTCAGGGAACCCTGCAGAGGGGGGCAGCGAGCCAGTGGGGGGCAGAGCGACCGAACCCGAACCGGTGACGCTAGCCTGCAATAGCTTAGCGACAGAATCATTCTTCCAGCTGCGGTTGTGACGACCTTTCGGTTGGAACAGCTCCTCGTTTCACTTAAAGAAGTTTAGCAAATCCTGCTTTGAACCGTCCAAGGTTTTGAAAGCTGTCTTCGGTAAAATGCTTATAAATGAACAGCTGAGCATCAAACTGCAGCGATCTTCTGATAGACTAAAATAATCCATGCCTGTCGGATCCTTGGGAAGACTGAAAATGTTCCCTTTCCTCCGGTCCGCCTGGAACGCTGCATTTCCACCTGTGGCTCATCTTCAATAGAGGAACTTCCTGCTTTGGATTTGTTTGAGAACAATAAAAATATATATATTTTATAAAGTTAATATTAAGTTCTTTTTAATTAGAGGTGTGAATATTAATAAAGTTCACTGTTTTCTATTTTATGTCTTTACAATTTATAAAGTAATTAATAATTGACACCTTTTAACAGAATAACTTTGATCTTTGACAGATTTAGTCTCTTATCCGTCCTTTTTTCAAAGGCTTTAAAGTTTCTTTCTTTCCATGTTTCATAACATTTGATCATAAATGGCTTTAGAAATAAGACGCTTTATTTCAATATTGTCATTGCTTAGTTATTTAATAAAACTCCAAAATTCTAAAAGAAATTCTTGAATACATTCAAAGATCCGCTCACAATCTGAATAAACTTTTCTATGTCAGTAATTTTTAGCAACTTTTCAACTGATGAGAAGCAGTGTTTTGATTATTTATCGATATTATTCAGAGATTTCTAAATCTTTGGTTTGAAAAACTTTAAACTATTGAATGATAATCCGTTTTCTGTTAGGAAGGAACATTTTTTTTGAATACTTGTTCCTTTATTTTATTTTGAAGTGAAAACTAACAGCAGCTGTCATTAGAACTGAATTAACTTGCTGACATGTTGAAGTGGATTTAGTCCTTATCCAGGGATTATCACTGTCAGTTTGACTAACTCTAACCGCTAATGCTAAGCTCTCCAAAAGGCTGCCAGCTTTCCCAAATCCAGATTTATCCAGAGGAAAGTCTTCCTCTGTCGCAGCCTGAATCAATCCCTCCTGGTTGCTTTTATACAGAGAGGAAAATAAGGATTTGAACTTCCTGCTATTTTGCACGTCCTCCTACTTAGAAATCATGGAGGGTCTTACATTGTCATCACAGGTGCATGTCTACTGTTAGAGACATAAAAAAAACATCCAGAAATGCAAATGTAGGATTTAAAAAAAAATATTTATTTGTATTATTCATTTGCAAATAAGTATTTGAACACCTGAGAGAATCAATGTTAATGTTTGCTGTTGTTTGCAGTTCTAGAGGTCAAAGGTTTCCTGTAGTTTTTCAGCAGGTTTGCACTGCGGGAGGGATTTTGGCCCACTCCTCCACACAGATCTTTTCTAGATCAGTCAGGTTTCTGGGCTGTTGCTTCTTCCAAAGATTCTCTTTTGGGTTTAGGTCTAGAGAGCGGCTAAGCCACACCAGAACCTAGATCTGCTTCTTCCAGAGTCCCTCCTTAGTTATCCTGGCTGTGTGCTTCGGGTCATTGTGATGCTGGAAGACCCAGCCTCCACCCATCTTCATTGCTCTAACTAAGGGAAGGAGGTTGCTCCCCTAAATCTCTCGATGCATGGCCTGGTCATCCTCTCCTAATACAGTGCAGTCACCCTGTCCCATGTGCAGAAAACACTCCCGAAGCATGATGCTACCACCCCCATGCTTCACAGTAGGGATGGTGTTAGTGGGATTCTGTTCTATTTTGGTCTCATCTGATCACATGACTTTCTCCCATGACTCCTGTGGATCATCCAGATGCTCATTGGCAAACTAAAGACGGTCTTTGACATGTGCTGGTTTAAGCAGGGGAACCTTCCATGCATCATATCAGACCATGCTTGCTACTAACCATGATGTTTTAGTGTATTACCAACAGTAACCATGGAAACGGTGGACCTTTCTTAGGATCAGTCAGACCCCAGCAGGTGAGATCTAGCATGGAGCCCCATTCTGAGGGAGACTGTCAGCCATGTTTAGCTTCTTCCGTTGTGTGGAGCTTTTTTCCACCAGGCTGTTTGGTTATTTCCCTGCAGCCGTTTCCAGCCTGGTGGAGGAGGACAGCTCAGTCTCTGGTGTCTTTGGACAGCTCCTTGGTCTGGGCCATGTTAGCAATTGGATTCTTGCTGATTGAATGGGATGGACGGATGGGATGGACGGGTGTCTTTATGCATCTATTATGGATCTAATTTAGGAGAATAAATGGAGGTGGACGTTTTGAAGGCAGACTAACAGGTCTTTGAGGGTCAGACATGTGTTCAAATACTTATTAGCAGCTGCATCATACAAATAAATAGTTATAAAATCATACTTTGCGATTTCTATGTTGTTGTTTTTTTAGATTGTGTCTCTCACAGTGGACATGCTCCTATGATGACGATTTCAGACCCTCCTAAGTGGGAGGAGTTTCAAAATAGCAGGAAGTTCAGATTCTTATTTTCCTCGGTATAACTTCAAATATCTTCCTGTGATTTAATTTTCCACACAGTCGCTTAAATCCGGTTACTTTGGAGTCTTCTTCCCTCCAGTGCATTTACATCTGCGACTGTTGGCAGTTTGACCCGCTAACCCTGATATGTTCACTGCCTAAAAAATAATTAGTCTTTAAAGTTTTTGACCAATTGTGGTCAAAAACTTTGTGTGAACATTTTAGGAGAAATCGGAATTCCTGCGGAACAAATGATTTCCCTCAACGTTAGCTAAAGAAAATGGTGTTTGTTTGATCACAGTTTGCATACATAAATAAATAAAACCCACAGACATAAAGTACAGCAGGGTGATTCCAGAATAGCCTGTAGTTGCTTTTTGTTTTTCCTCGTTTACAGAATCACCCTCCTGTTGGAGATTTTAGTGGTGGAGATTTCCATCTCTCTCTCAGCATAGCAGACGTGTTATTGGTGCGCAGACGGTGCAAGCATGGGACTTAAAACATGATGCCAAATATTCCAACCCGGTAGCCTTTTTGTAAGAATTGCAAGTTGATTTTACGATGAACATTTATTTTCACCACGTTGAGCCGGTGCTCTGTCAGACCAGCATACCCAGAGTATTAACTTTAGTTTATCCCTTTACTTTTGTATGAAAAATAAGCCTTAAATTGCCTCAATGGGCGTGTATCCCTTTAGTCATGTAAAAAAAATTAATTAATTACTTACTTTTTGGTGCTTATGGCGATCTGACCTTTAATTGATTTTTTTGTACATGATTAAAGAGATCCACGCCCGTTGTTGTTAGTCTTTTTTTCGTACAAAACTAAAGGGATTAACGCAAATCTAACATCTTGCGCATACGTGTTGACTTTGGCTATGCTGATCTAACGCGTATGCTGATCTGACGGCATATGCTGATCTAACGCGTATGTTGATCTGACGGCGAATGCTGATCTGACGGCGAATGCTGATCTGACTTTGTATGCTGATCTGACGGTGCATGCTGATCTGACGGTGCATGCTGATCTGACGGCGTATCCTGATCTGACTTTGTATGCTGATCTGATGGCGTATGCTGATCTGACTTCGTATGCTGATCTGACGGCGAATGCTGATCTGACTTTGTATGCTGATCTGACGGCGAATGCTGATCTGTCGGCGTATGCTAATCTGATGGCGAATGCTGATCTGACGGCGTATGCTGATCTGTCGGCGTATGCTGATCTGACTTTGTATGCTGATCTGACGGCGAATGCTGATCTGTCGGCGTATGCTAATCTGATGGCGAATGCTGATCTGACGGCGTATGCTGATCTGTCGGCGTATGCTGATCTGATGGCGAATGCTGATCTGACGGTGCATGCTGATCTGTCGGCGTATGCTGATCTGACGGCGTATGCTGATCTGACGGCGAATGCTGATCTGACGGCGTATGCTGATCTGACGGCGTATGCTGATCTGTCGGCGTATGCTGATCTGATGGCGAATGATGATCTGACTTTGTATGCTGATCTGACGGTGCATGCTGATCTGTCGGCGTATGCTGATCTGTCGGCGTATGCTGATCTGACGGCGAATGCTGATCTGACGGCGAATGCTGATCTGACGGCGAATGCTGATCTGACGGCGTATGCTGATCTGTCGGCGTATGCTGATCTGTCGGCGTATGCTGATCTGACGGCGAATGCTGATCTGACGGCGTATGCTGATCTGATGGCGAATGCTGATCTGACGGCGAATGCTGATCTGACGGCGTATGCTGATCTGACGGCGAATGCTGATCTGACGGCGAATGCTGATCTGACGGCGAATGCTGATCTGACGGCGTATGCTGATCTGTCGGCGTATGCTGATCTGTCGGCGTATGCTGATCTGACGGCGAATGCTGATCTGACGGCGTATGCTGATCTGATGGCGAATGCTGATCTGACGGTGCATGCTGATCTGTTGGCGTATGCTGATCTGTCGGCGTATGCTGATCTGACGGCGAATGCTGATCTGACGGCGTATGCTGATCTGACGGCGTATGCTGATCTGTCGGCGTATGCTGATCTAATGGCGAATGGTGATCTGATGGCGAATGCTGATCTGACGGCGTATGCTGATCTGTCGGCGTATGCTGATCTGATGGCGAATGCTGATCTGACGGTGCATGCTGATCTTACGGCGTATGCTGATCTGACTTTGTATGCTGATCTGTCGGCGTATGCTGATCTGACGGCGAATGATGATCTGACTTTGTATGCTGATCTGTCGGCGTATGCTGATCTGACGGCGTATGCTGATCTGTCGGCGTATGCTGATCTGATGGCGTATGCTGATCTGATGGCGAATGCTGATCTGTCGGCGTATGCTGATCTGACGGCGTATGCTGATCTGTCGGCGTATGCTGATCTGATGGCGTATGCTGATCTGATGGCGAATGCTGATCTGTCGGCGTATGCTGATCTTACGGCGTATGCTGATCTGACTTTGTATGCTGATCTGTCGGCGTATGCTGATCTGACGGCGAATGATGATCTGACTTTGTATGCTGATCTGTCGGCGTATGCTGATCTGACGGCGTATGCTGATCTGTCGGCGTATGCTGATCTGATGGCGTATGCTGATCTGATGGCGAATGCTGATCTGTCGGCGTATGCTGATCTGTCGGCGTATGCTGATCTGATGGCGTATGCTGATCTGACGGCGTATGCTGATCTGTCGGCGAATGCTGATCTGATGGCGAATGCTGATCTGTCGGCGTATGCTGATCTGTCGGCGAATGCTGATCTGATGGCGAATGCTGATCTGTCGGCGTATGCTGATCTGTCGGCGTATGCTGATCTGACGGCGAATGCTGATCTGTCGGCGTATGCTGATCTGTCGGCGTATGCTGATCTGATGGCGTATGCTGATCTGACGGCGTATGCTGATCTGTCGGCGAATGCTGATCTGATGGCGAATGCTGATCTGTCGGCGTATGCTGATCTGTCGGCGTATGCTGATCTGTCGGCGTATGCTGATCTGTCGGCGTATGCTGATCTGATGGCGAATGCTGATCTGTCGGCGTATGCTGATCTGTCGGCGTATGCTGATCTGACGGCGAATGCTGATCTGACGGCGAATGCTGATCTGACGGCGAATGCTGATCTGTCGGCGTATGCTGATCTGTCGGCGTATGCTGATCTGTCGGCGTATGCTGATCTGACGGCGAATGGTGATCTGTCAGCGTATGCTGATCTGACGGCGAATGCTAATCTGACAGAACACTTCCCAATTCAAGTACTCCCCTGAGGTTCCTGAAGAATCCCTCTGCCCCCCCAAAAATGTAAAAATTGTTTATGGTTTTAGCTAAATGTATTATGAACATGTAATTTTTTTCATTGTTCGTTGTTCACTTTCATTCCACAGGGATAGATGTGGATAAAGCCCGAAAGGAGGAGGAGAGGATCATGCTCCAGGATGCCAGGGCGCTGCTGGAAGGAGGCGGCTCCTTGACGCCTCACCCCAACACCAAGGCGACCGCCCTGCATGTCGCCGCAGCCAAAGGTTACATCGAAGTCTTGAAGTAAGAATTGTTTCACACGAAACACTCAGATGAGGGACTGTTGTCTCGTTTCGGTTTATTTATTCACTGCTCCTCCTGTTCTTCCTCACGCCGTCAGGGTGCTGTTACAGTGCAGGGTGGATGTGGACTGCAGAGACGTAGACGGCTGGACGCCTCTGCATGCAGCAGCTCACTGGGGACAGGAGGAGGTGTGCACCCTGCTCGCTGACCACATGTGCGACATGGCCGCCGTTAACAACGTGGTGAGGCCCTCTGACACCGCCTGCAGTAAATCAGTTGCTTCCTCTTCATCGTCCGTCGCAGCTGATAATCTGATGCTAATATCCTTATAGGGGCAAACGCCTCTAGACGTTGCAGACGAGAACCTGGTGGACGCCCTGGAGGAGCTGCAGAAGAAACAGAACGCTGTGAGTGTGCCATGAAGCGCTGCCATACTCAGCGGCTTGGATGAACCCGGTCTGATTGATGCTGCTACGGCAGGGAATGTTCTCTCTGTTTATGTCTGTTTATATTCCTCTCCAGTTACGCAGCGAGAGACAGAAACAGAGTCCTGTTATTGAGACCAATCAACCAATCTCCATGGTACCAGTCCGCACTCGCAGGTTAGTGCCACTGAATGTGTGCGTGTGACACGCTTTGCTCATCCTTAGTCCATCCCATAAAGCTCAGTGCCAGGCGTCTGCATGCGTGTCTGATTCTTAACAGTCCAAGAGCTCCTGGGAGCTGCGCAGCCGGGGCTGAGCTGAAGAGATGTGACTGCGTCTGTCTTAGTGCCATTAGATTCAATATGTGGCATCAAAGTTTAGAGACGGAGCTGTTAGTGGGTAAGAAAAGAAACCAAAGCGTGTAAAGCAATCCTGTAAATGCCGAACAGAGACTCGGACATAAACACAAGCAGTTCTGATCATTTTATTGTGGAAAATCTTCATCCTCCGTAAAGGTTCAGAATAGTCCTTTCTAGTCAGTGCGTCTTGCTTTGATCAGAACCTCCTGTTTTATTTTAGAAGCAGTAAAAACTTGTGGTATGTTTCTTGTTTATCGGTTTTTGATCAGCAGTTTTAAAGTGGCTACTTGCTGCTGTCAGACGCTTCTGGCTCTTTTCCTTTCAATGCTTGTGCTGAGAGCTCCCTGCGCAGTCTGGGAGGGGAGGAACAGGCAGTTAGTCTGATTTACAGGCTGATCTGGAAAGCTGTACGATTTAAGGACTGTCCAAGTCTGGGTAGGTGTGGGAAAAGAAAGGAATTCTTCATTCCTTTTTCCTTTTTCTAAAACGTAGAAATCTGGAATTTGAAAAGTAGTCGATCTATCTATTTATGAGCCATTGAATCCTTTGTGGATTTATTTATCCTTTCATCCATCAGTCAGACGGTCTGTCCATCTATTCCTCCATCCTTCCTTATTGCCAATTCAATTGAAAATACATTTATGTCACATATTCATAAATAAAACTGTTTGAGAAGGAGTTTGGAAGAAGTTCAGACAAACTTATAAGGACCAAAAACCTTTTGTTAGACACACAAAATAACTTTATTCTCTTTTGTGAATCACATTACAACATTCCTCTATAGATCATAATACTCATTATCAAAGAGCAATCCTTAAAAATACAGAATAATCATAACATACTACATAAATATATAATAATAGTAAAACATAATCTTATTATATTAATATACAACTTTGTATTTATCATATTAATATTTATTTGCAAAACATCTAGCTTTGCATATACACTATATTGCCAAAAGTATTTGCTCACCCATCCAAATTATTGGAATCAGGTGTTCCAATCACTTCCATGGCCACAGGTGTATAAATTCAAGCACCTAGGCATGCAGACTGTTTTTACAAACATTTGTGAAAGAATGGGTCGCTCTCAGGAGCTCAGTGAATTCCAGCGTGGAACTGTGATAGGATGCCACCTGTGCAACAAATCCAGTCGTGAAATTTCCTCGCTCCTAAATATTCCACAGTCAACTGTCAGCTGTATTATAAGAAAATGGAAGTGTTTGGGAACGACAGCAACTCAGCCACGAAGTGGTAGGCCACGTAAACTGACGGAGCGGGGTCAGCGGATGCTGACGCGCATAGTGCGAAGAGGTCGCCAACTTTCTGCAGAGTCAATCACTACAGACCTCCAAACTTCATGTGGCCTTCAGATTAGCTCAAGAACAGTGCGCAGAGAGCTTCATGGAATGGGTTTCCATGGTCGAGCAGCTGCATCCAAGCCATACATCACCAAGTGCAATGCAAAGCGTCGGATGCGGTGGTGTAAAGCACGCCGCCACTGGACTCTAGAGCAGTGGAGACGCGTTCTCTGGAGTGACGAATCGCGCTTCTCCATCTGGCAATCTGATGGACGGGTCTGGGTTTGGCGGTTGCCAGGAGAACGGTACTTGTCTGACTGCATTGTGCCAAGTGTAAAGTTTGGTGGAGGGGGGATTATGGTGTGAGGTTGTTTTTCAGGAGCTGGGCTTGGCCCCTTAGTTCCAGTGAAAGGAACTCTGAATGCTTCAGCATACCAAGACATTTTGGACAATTCCATGCTCCCAACTTTGTGGGAACAGTTTGGAGCTGGCCCCTTCCTCTTCCAACATGACTGTGCACCAGTGCACAAAGCAAGGTCCATAAAGACATGGATGACAGAGTCTGGTGTGGATGAACTTGACTGGCCTGCACAGAGTCCTGACCTCAACCCGATAGAACACCTTTGGGATGAATTAGAGCGGAGACTGAGAGCCAGGCCTTCTCGTCCAACATCAGTGTGCGACCTCACAAATGCGCTTCTGGAAGAATGGTCAAAAATTCCCATAAACACACTCCTAAACCTTGTGGACAGCCTTCCCAGAAGAGTTGAAGCTGTTCTAGCTGCAAAGGGTGGACCGACGTCATATTGAACCCTATGGATTAGGAACGGGATGTCACTTAAGCTCATATGTGAGTCAAGGCAGGTGAGCAAATACTTTTGGCAATATAGTGTATCTCATCCAGTTTGAGTTCTGTTTTTAATCTGAATAAATCATTTTAAAGTTATTTTTGGTCTTTTAAGGGGTTGTGACATCTAAGAGATAATTGTAATATTATCTTTGACTCTTATTTCATGTGATTAAAATGAGATGTGAGCTGCCTCCTATTCATTCTGACAGCAGCTGTCGAAACTGTGGCCTGATCCAAGATGGCCGCCCTCTAGGCACGTCCGCCTTCGCTGCCGCCAGAGCCAATGAGGCGTCTACGTATACAATGTCTACGCTCCAGCTGGATCAAATTTGAAAGCTGATTGGTTGAAGAAAACATTCCTCAGTAATATAATTTAAGTCGTAGGGAAATTATATTTAAATATCAAATCATTCTGGCTGAAAAAATTATATAAATGTTCTCTTTATCAGACCATATTGTCCCAAAATTTAGAAAATTTATATAAAAAAAAAAAATCTGTTTTTTCCTCCGTTTTCTTCTGCAGGCCAGTTAGTTCTACGTCAGCCTGAACACCTAAATTCGGCCAATCATATATCAACGGTCATCTGTCAATCAAATGTTTTCGGTCATAGCATCTTGATTCATGTGTCGCAGCTAATATACGCAACGGTTGAAACCAGAATCCTTTCCTTTCCCATTGAGTTGCGTCCCAGTGTTCACGGGGATGGACGTCTGTGTCTTCGGCAGGCGTAGAGCTAACAGAACTGGCAGCGTTGCGAGGCAAGGGCTCAAACATGTACGGCTGGAAGCCTTCTACACCAAACCAAGCTTCTGCCGCCCTGGCGTCCTCTTCCACAACATCTTCGTCCCCGCTTTCCTCCTCTAAATAAAAGATGGATGACGGAGGAGACTCATCCACGACCTCCGACACTAAACTCTCCTCCTCTTGCATGTTTCCGCTGTCCATAGCTGTCCTTATGGAATTTCCCATTGGGAACCTGCTAGCACTAAGTTGCTAACTGGTAAGCAAGTTGCTTCCCACAAACCGGCCACAATCAAACTTAATTGTGAACCTTCTGCCACAACAATCCCGCCCCCCTGATAATCGACCAATCACATTCACTTTATTCACTCGTGTAAAGTCGTGCACCACTCGGGAGAATTCGGAAATGCAACGGTTGGAACGACCGATTCCCTACGACTCTAAGGTAAGATCAGCAGCACTGCTGGTTCTGAAGGCAGATTAGATTGACATAGCAACACACAGAGGCTGAAATCTGATTGGACAAAAAATATAAGAACCACATAAATATAATGGAAGCAGCGCAGCCAAGAGAAATGCTACAAAACTAAGAGAAGGGATTGTTTGGAATAAATGAATAAAGCTGGATAGAAGAAAATGAAAGGTTTAGTTTGTGAATGAAAGTTAGTGTTTCTGATTGGTTTTAGCATTGAAGGCCTTTAAGGCTCTGACCGCCCACCACTGCAACAAATGACAGATTTACAGTTATCTCTCTGCAATGACTAAATATATAAAAGATTGTGAATAACATGCTTGTCTTCATGGGTTTTCTCCTTTGAAAATGTCCCCGTCTTTCTATAATCATGTAAAGATGGAGAAGAGACCCTCTGTCTGTCCACACACCACTTTACTCTCAATATTTTGTCCCTTTTTTTTCCAACATCAGTGCTTTGAATCAGGACAGGAATTACTTCCCAAACCACTCAGCTCTCTCTCCAAGGCTGCTGTTTATAGTGCAGCATCTGCACACACTGTTCTTTCATTTCAACTCTTCTCAGTTATAACGGCTCAGTAACATCTACACCATTGTAATTATACTGTCCGCCGACTCGACTAAGGAAGGGATATCTTTAAAAATTTAATTTAACTTCTGAACCTTTAGAGTTTCCAAGAAGCTCCATTTTGAAAGTATTTGAACTAAAATCTTTATTTACCGTATATAATGTGAATCTCTGTGTTCAGTGCGTTACAGCAGAATCAATACGTCCTGCTATAACCACAAATCTTATCGTATTTTAGATGATAGAACTGCTCAAAGTGGAGCAAATCAGATGCAACTTTTTCTCTTTATTAAAAACTTAGAAATAAGCTCAACTTATCTCAGTATCTATAAAGCAAAGAGTAGGAGACGACTAATAATTGACCAACATGGCAGTGATTCCCAACCCAGGGTACACGTACCCCTAGTGGTCCGCGAGTGCATTGCAAGGGGTACATCAGTTTTATTCTCAAATTTGATATAATTTTAACTAAATAAAATGGGGTTAGGAACTTTTCTACTTTGTGAGGACCCAACTAGAAAATAAAACAAGCTTCAAAACACCTTCAGCTTTGACATCCAAACCAAGCAGAGATCAGACTGGATCCTAATCTCATCCTGGAGCCGCATTAGGCTAAATCTGGTCAGATGATATATGTGGTGGAAATCTAACATCCCATTGGCCACAGTAACCTCACTGGGAGCTGTCCTGGAAAAACACAAGTACTAGATATGGGAGGGGGGGGGTTATTTCTTCCTTCGTGAGACGCTTTCCCCACTTTCCATAATGGTCCCTTGGCTGGTCATTGGCTGGTCATTGGCTGGTCCTTGATGGGTCCTTGGTTGGTCCTTGGTTGGTCCTTGGCTGGTCATTGGTTGGTCATTGGTTGGTCCTTGGCTGGTCCTTGGCTGGTCTTTGATGGGTCCTTGGTTGGTCCTTGGCTGGTCATTGGTTGGTCCTTGGCTGGTCCTTGGCTGGTCTTTGATGGGTCCTTGGTTGGTCCTTGGCTGGTCATTGGTTGGTCCTTGGCTGGTCCTTGATGGGTCCTTGGTTGGTCATTGGTTGGTCCTTGGTTGGTCCTTGGCTGGTCGTTGGTTGGTCCTTAGCTGGTCGTTGGTTGGTCCTTGGTTGGTCCTTGGTTGGTCCTTGGCTGGTCATTGGTTGGTCCTTGGCTGGTCCTTGATGGGTCCTTGGTTGGTCATTGGTTGGTCCTTGGTTGGTCCTTGGCTGGTCGTTGGTTGGTCCTTGGTTGGTCCTTGGTTGGTCCTTGGTTGGTCCTTGGTTGGTCCTTGGCTGGTCGTTGGTTGGTCCTTAGCTGGTCGTTGGTTGGTCCTTGGTTGGTCCTTGGTTGGTCCTTGGCTGGTCATTGGCTGGTCATTGGCTGGTCCTTGATGGGTCCTTGGTTGGTCCTTGGTTGGTCATTGGTTGGTCATTGGTTGGTCCTTGGCTGGTCCTTGATGGGTCCTTGGTTGGTCCTTGGTTGGTCATTGGCTGGTCCTTGATGGGTCCTTGGTTGGTCCTTGGTTGGTCATTGGTTGGTCATTGGTTGGTCCTTGGCTGGTCCTTGGCTGGTCTTTGATGGGTCCTTGGTTGGTCCTTGGCTGGTCATTGGTTGGTCCTTGGCTGGTCCTTGATGGGTCCTTGGTTGGTCCTTGGTTGGTCCTTGGCTGGTCGTTGGTTGGTCCTTGGCTGGTCCTTGATGGGTCCTTGGTTGGTCCTTGGCTGGTCGTTGGTTGGTCCTTGGTTGGTCCCCTTCAATCAATCTTTGTAGTAAAATATTCTTTCTGTCATGATTTCTCGACATTATGATCTAAAGAGAAGCGCCATCTGCTGGTCAGACCCTGTAATTCAGTGAAGGGGGGGAATCAGAGTAAAAACATGCGGGGGGGGGTCACTGCAGTGGCTGGAAGGTGGTGTAGGTTTAGCTGGGATTGGTGGGAAGTGGGCTGCTGTTCAGCTGGTGTTAGACTGGGAAGGCCCATTTTGAATGGCTGCTGCTGACGCTGGGAGGCGACAATGTTTTGGCTTTTTTGTTGCCGCTCTTTTCTTTTTGAGCCAATGAAAATTAAAAAAGGTATTTTAAAGTTTAAGATAAAAATGTGTTGAGGACTCTACAAAATGCGTTGGATAAAGGGCCCAGCTGCTCCGCCTGCTGATGCGCTGAGTGGTGCTTGCTGGCTTTCAGCGGCTGCTTTTCGTTCGCCTCACTGATCAGCTCCCTGCACGCTACCTGTCGTCCCTCCCCACTTTGGGCTCCGCCCCCTCCCTGCAGGACATCTATCTCTCGCATGAGCAGCAAGGAGAAGATAGGCATCCATGAGCGGGAGAAGCACCCGCCTCCTGCCCTGCCCAGTAGTCCGGCCGAGGATGATGAGGAGGAAGGCCATACGGGGCAGAGCCAGGCGAAGTCCTCCAGCAGCTCCAGCTCAGAGGAGGAGAGCGAGTCGGAGAGCGACGCCGAGTCCGGTGAGGGGGAGCTGCTTGTTTAGTTTGGACTCTGGGATGTCTGTGCTAAAAGGCACGCAGGCAGTACTGCTGCATCAGATGTTTAACCTGCTCTTACTTGTGCTGTTTCAGAGAAAGCTAAAAATAGAGAAATCATAAACAACTTAAACAACAAGCGAAACACCAGCAGCATGCTGTCTACCTCCATGTCGGGGAGTACCACTGCAAGCCAGGGGAAAAAGGTAGAGTGTGAAGACGCCGCTGGGATTTCAACTGCTCCATGTGCTTTTCTGGAGTTATAAAGGACTTGTGCATGTCCTGCAGGAACCAAGTAATCCTCCGGCCACCGAGTCTCCGGGCTCATGGAGGACGTCCCTGAGGAAGGCGGGCAGCTCGGTGACCCTGGGCTCAGCTGGGCTCTCAGACTCCATCCAGGACCCAAGCAGGGCCACAGAGTCTGGACTCAGAATGAACCGCTCCGCCTCCAGCCCGCGCCTCAGCTCTGAGGCCAACACCAAGGTACGCACTCCTTATTTTATCTCAGCAAGAACGCCACGGGCCAAATAAAAGCTTCTTTTATGGCCTCCACTCGCTCAGCTTCATAAATAACAGATAAACACACCAAAGCCTCCCTCTTTTGTCTTCCAGGAGCCAAGGCTCGCTCGTGTGCCGCCAACTCCGACACGGAGACTCTTCAGTATTCCAGATAACAGCTCTGACGGCTCCAGCAGGTGGGATTTAACCGTCTTCCATAGAGAGGAAGAGTCTGAGTCACTGCCTGTATGCCCCTGTCACCCTGTCTCCCTCTCCCTCTCTTAGCTGGCTAAGCCGTAGCTCGTCTTACACTCGGCGACTTCATAGTCAGTTAGGGAATGAGTTCACTAGCTCCACGCCATCTTTGCTGCACAGGTCAGTCGCTCTGCTCACCGCCTGATGTCTACGTCTCTGCTTTGCTGTGTGTGTGTGATTGTGGTCGCATCGCCGCGGCTCATAACGGCGCCCTCCTCCTTCCCTCCACAGCTGCAAATGTTAGTTCATATGAACGTGTTGCTGTGAAAAATGTGCTTTCGTTAACCTCTTCCTACTCTGTCCTGCTACCAGCTCGTCTTACACGAAGAGACTGGATGACGCCAACTTGACCTCATCAAGTACAGGAACCAGCTCTGCTGGACTCAGCCGCCTTAATAGTCTGTTAGCTCAGAGGTATTTTATCTGAACTATTGTTCTGTGGCTTGGAGTTTGTGATTGTTATGCTTTTTTAATGCCTAAAATGGGGACATAAAGAAGCTAAAGTGTGTGAAAGAGGAGCAGCTGAATGTTAGGAATGTGTAGCTCCAGCATCAATGTTAAGGCAGGAAAACCAAAAACCTAACATGAACACAGTAACTGTTAGAGCCAGGTAATCACTGCAGGAAGCGCTGAAAAACAGGGAAGCTGTAGAGTTATTCAAAGGAGCTCTGCAATCATCTCTAGTCTGCCTGCAATTCTCCAATCGTTATTTAAAAAGCTTTAACTTTGGTCCCGTTCATTCCACCATTTTTCATTTTTTGCCTCAGTTCCGTCCAGCGTGGTTACTCTGATTCATGCAGACTAGGGATGCACGATATAATCGGCCCCCTATCGGTATCGGCCTTAAAACTGAATATCGGACATCGGCCACCCCACCGATATTTAACCCGATATTTGATCAGCTTCTGAGTTTCTAAAGTCTAAAAAAAAATAATAAATACTACTTCTTCTTCTTCCTCAAAAACTTCTTTTTTACAGACTTAAAAACTTCTAAAGACGAGGGAAAAAATATTGATCCATTAAAATATCCCAATATCTTCATATGCTGATATATTGCCATTTAAAAACACCATATCAATCTCTTTTACTAATGAAATATTGCTATATGTCATCGTTATGCTACGAAATCCCCCGAAAATTCACCAAATGTTGCCATATTTTTATATGTTGATATATTGACGCGGTATCGATCTATTTTACTAACAAAATCTCACAAGAATTTTCAAAATATCACGAGAGTTTGTAACAGAACAATGAAATTTCACCAGATTTTGAAAGTAAAATAGATCGATACCGCGTTTTTAAAAATCTATTTGATATCAGCATATGAAAATATATTTGAGTATATTATTTTTCAAAGTGTCAGAAATGGATAACAAAACTGCTATTTTCAATGACTACTTATTTTTGTCCAGCTTTAACATCGGTATCGATATCGTTTATCGGCTACATGAGTTTTAAAATATCGGATATCGGCCAAAATCCCAATATCCTGCATCCCTAATGCAGACTTTAGTTTGCTAACAGAATCGACTACTTTTTATTTAAACACGTCTTCATGTTCCAGGGATTATTACCCCATCTACTCTAACCATCTTTATTTTTTATTTATTTAAAGGTTTAATTGGTGGATATTAAGCATTTAAATTTTCATTTATAACATAAATAAACTTGTTCTAAAGGAATCCTCAGGAACAGATGGAGAAGAAAGAGCCGCCGTCCACCAACACCTCCGTTTCTCAAAGCTTGACGACAGGCGACCAGGAGGGCAAACAGAGGCGCAAGTAAGAATCGACCATCTAGCTGGAGAAAGATGGCGGCGCAGATCTGTCACTGAAAGGCTTTCTGACTCCTGCAGGTCGTATCTGACTCCCGTACGAGACGAGGAAGCAGAGGCCCAGAGGAAAGCCCGCTCCCGCCACGCCAGGCAGTCCCGACGCTCCACCCAGGTAGATCCGCGCGCTCCCGTGCCCCCTGCTCCCGTGCCCCCGTGCCCCCTGCTGGGGAACCTCATGATGGACGCTCGTGTCTCACTCATCTTTATTTTTTTACTTCTAAGGGGGTTACACTGACAGACTTGCAGGAAGCAGAGAAAACGATCAAAACCACAAAGACGGAGGGCAAAGGGAGAGAAAAGAACGAGGAAGAAGAGAAGGAAGCCAAACAGAAGAAGGCAGACGAAGGGGTAAAGGACCTATTAAATACTTAGGAGCCTGTTCTGTGGGGCGGATCATGTTTTTGTTATGATGCAGAGCAGAACGTTGTTGCTTTGCAGGAAGTCAGCTGGAGATCTCGTATAGCCAGCCTGCAGAAGTCAGACCTGCTGGGTCTGACGCAGCCTGCCGGCTCTGCTCGCCCCGAGGCATCTGAAAGGAAAGGTTAGCATCTGCACATTCCCAAAGGTCTAATCATTTTAATCTGATTTTACACCGTAAACCAAGAAACAACGCAGGTTTTTCAACTATTGCAAAAAATGTATCTATTGTATTTAACCGCAGTTTTTCTGAAACCAATAATTATCCATAGCTTTAAACATTCAACACTGAATACCACTCAGATTCAATTTTTAACTTTGATTTTTAACTTTTCAATTAGCTTTTTTATTTATTTTTTTTCCAACTTGAGGGGGGGTCCATTTGTTGTTGTTTTTTTAACAGTGTCCTGTTTGACAATGTGGCGATAAGAAAAATTAATTAATAATTGTCTTGATGTCAAAATGAACCCAACAGATTTTCCTTTCTCCAGTGGAGCAGTACGGCTATCGCCATAGTGTTCCGCTGGATTAATGCATATAAATAACTTTATTATAATTATGCAGGGAGTGTTACAGATTAAGAGGACACTGCAATGGAAGTAGAACAGGAAAGGAAAAACAGGAAAAATGAGAAAAGATGAAAGAAAGAGGAGATAAAAGGGAGACAATGATGCTAATGATGAAACTGGCCCTATAAAGGGTTAATTAATCTGAATTATTTTTGTTTTGTTTCTGTGTGGTTCTGCTCAGATGTTGAGTCCATTACAGGAGAGAGCGAGACTGAAAGATGGGACAGAGAGCGCAGGGAGAGGCGTCAGGCTCGGGCCAGGAGGAAGGCGCAGCGGAGCGGAGAGGTAACCATCCTCCTCTAAACCACAAACTAAAAACCTGCAGCGGCTACAAAACCTGTTGATCTCCTGCAGGGCGAAGACGTCCAGCCCGCCGCAGAGGAGGAGTTCTCAGGGAGTGGGCCGGATCCACAGGTTGCCCCTCATGTGTGTCATCAAAGAGCGCTCCACTCAACCAGCAGCTGTATTGACATTTTCTCCCTCTGTGCAGAAAGACAAAGACACCAGTTCAAGGTTGGACAGCTTGTATAACAGCCGCACCCAGAGAGAGGGATCAGAGGCTAAAGATTATAAAAAGGTGAGCAGCAGGAGGTGGCCATGAGGCCATGTGCTCATATCTGACTCACTAATGGATGTGTGCGTGGCAGCTGTTTGAGGAGGTGTCGAGGGAAAACAGTCAGCTCCAGTCGCAGCTGCAGGACACCCAGAGGATCATCAGCCAGACTCGGCTGGAGGTGGAGAAGGCGGCGCAGGTGATGAAGAGCTGCAGCTTTTCCTGCTTTCAAACCTGCAGCTCTTATTTATGAAGCCGCTTCTTTCCCCAACAGAGACAAGAGCGCCTCACCGACTGCTCAGCGCTGCTGGAGCTAGAGAGGAAGGTAACCCCCCCCTCCCTCAGTGTTGCCTGGTTTTAGTTTTGGTTGCCTCACTGCGCCACCACAGCCGTCTCACACTCCTCTGCCTCCACTTCAACCACTTCCTCACTTGTTTTCACTCAACTTCTGTCTTCCTTCTCCCCCCCTCCCCTCCGGTCCCCCATCTCCTTACGGTGTTTTCGGACGCCAGGACCGGAGGATGTTGGAGCGGCGCATGGCAGAGCTGGAGGAGGAGCTAAAGGTGAGGGCCGCTCCTCTTTGCATGACGCTCTGCTCAGTCTGGCTGCAGAGCCGCCGCTCGCCGTGTGATGCGGCGGCCACCTGCCAGCAGCTTTACCAGCGTCTAATCGGAGAACGCTTTGACTTTAGAACGCCACGATCTTTGCATCTGTGTGAAGTTTGCATTTATGAGGCTTTAACAGTAAAACCGTGAAATTATTATTAATGGCGATGTTTGTTTCTAACTTTGGATGTTTGCTACATATTTAATTAGGAGGATTCATGAACCACAAGGAAAACACTTCTACTCTCTGGAGCTCCAAGATGGCCTGTTTTCAGTTCTATTCATTATATATCTATAGCGCCAATTCCCATCATGTCATCTCATGTCACTTTATAGATCCAGATCAACCAGATCATCCAGTCAGATTGATTCAAAGTTTTCTATCTAAGGAAAACCAGCTGATTGCATCGACTCATTGACTCTTCAGCAATCCCTCACACTAAGCATGCTTGTAGCGACAGTGGAGAGGAAAAACTCCCTTTGAACAGGAAGAAACCTCCAGCAGAACCAGGCTCAGTGTAAGCGGCCATCTGCTGAGGCCCACTGGGGTTCAAGGAGACAGAAGCAGACATAGAAAAAGAAGCATAGATACAAAAGGCAACCAGCTCCACAGGCGGCCCCGTCCAGGAAACACACAGCCAGGCAGACGAGCTCCGAGCCAGCTCCCATGTCAGAGGATGAAGAGAGCACATCCAGTTAGTCACAGTCAGAGAAACAGGACTACACTGGAAAACAGGCCGAGCTCCAACATCTAGAAACAAAGGTGTTGATGGCAGCAGCACAGCTGATATTTCTCTCCAGGATGGAGTCACAGCCAAACAGGAACAGACCAGATGAAGCTACTATGAGAAAAAGCAGAGAGAGCAGAACGTTAGAGATTGAACTAACAGATTCTGCAGAGTGGGAGAATAGAGATAGAATGAAGCAGAATGATGAAAAAGGGGTCCCTATGTCCTCTAGCAGTCTAAGCCTATAGCAGCAGAACTATAGAGATAGATCAAACATCCGCTTTGGAGGAAAATCCCAAATAAAATCTGTTAATCTGACGGGGAAGGAGTCAGTTTGGAGTCGCACATCTTGTTTATAGTGAGCAGGACAGACTGGAGCAAAAACGTCTTTAGACGTAGATCTCATTATGTTTTTAATAGATGAACACTCTCTATCTGTTCTGGTTCTAGATGCCGCAGACTTAAGTAGAGCTTTGCTTTATAGAATGTTCCAATGATTTTCATTTTATAATTGTTAGCTTAACTTTTCATGATCTGTCCAAGTGGGAACGTTTTTTAATGTGTGTAAAGCACAGAGACAGAAATAATCTGAATAGATCTGCTCAGCCTGCCTAGTCGGAGCCTCTCTATACGCAGTCAGTGATTCATGGAAAAACATCGGAATGGAGATTAAAAAGTCGGACCAGTTGCTTTGTTCAGGTGTTAAAGGAGCGCTATGCGAGATCTCTGCTAGTTCATGCTAATGTTTGCTCTTATGGTGACATCAACACCTTGGAGTACGTCACTGACTGTTTGTGTTTTCATTCGGCTGAACACTTTTGAAATGTTCAACCGAAAAGACTGATAGAAGTTGTTAAAACTTTGCCCTCTGGCGTTGTGGCGTGGAATAACAGCGCAGACCATGCTTCAATATATTGGACATAAATCAAAAATATCTGCGACGCGCTGCTGGGGGAGGATAACCAGGCCGTTACCCCCCCTATGCTACAGGCTGAAAGTCGGCGCGATGGAAAGATTCTCGCACGACTGGAGAATCGGCCTGAAAAGTGCAAAAATGTTGCGGCTTTATTTTCATATGGGTTTATTATTCTATATTGTAAAGGACTGTTGTTAGGGATTTAAGGTCCTGGGATCCGTTAGCGGATGTTTTCCTCTCCAGTAGGAGGGGAGTCTGCAGCGCGGCGGCGATGCTTCCTGATTCTAACCTGAGCTTTAATCCTGCAGGTTCTGGTCGACCTGAGAGCCGACAACCAACGTCTTAAAGATGAAAACGGAGCTCTGATCCGCGTCATCAGCAAACTCTCCAAATAGACTGAGAGAGACGACCACCAGGGACACGCCCCCCCAACCCGTCCCCTTTCATCCGTCCCGCCGCTTCCATACATTCCTTTCCGTGCCAAAAAGCAGGGGACGGCGGGGGGGGGGGGGGGGGGGGGGGGGGGAGTTCTACGCACATCAGCACTGCAGCTTCACTTGGATTGAAACGCCGGAGCGCCCGGCTGTCACCTTACAGCCGGGCGGCTCTCCCTCCATGACGCCGTCCTGCGACTCTCCGCCGTGGCGCCCTGAGGCCCGCCAACGCCTCCTTTCTTCCAGTCCACAAAGCGCACCCCATGGTGTCGTCCTTAAAGCGCCCACCTTGTATTTATTCTTTGTGAACACGTCACACGTTGAGAAGGTTTCCCCTCACCGGGTCCCAGTGTTTGGGTGTGTTCTTCTTCTGTGGTGTTACGCCGTGGCGTGAAGGCGTGGGGGGGGGGGACGCCGGTGAAGCTCTGTTGGTTTTTTTTTTTGCTGCCACATGCAAGTGTTTAAACCCACCTACCTCTCTCCACCTGTGCACCTCCTGCATCTTTAGTTTGATCCTGTATCACAGACATGACCCCTCCTCCTAAAGACCAAGCAGGTCAGCGGACCACAGCACTTTACCCCCCCCCCCACCAGGCTCTTAGAGAGACGATTTAATCAGCAGCAGCATCATCCTCTGAGAATTAAGTTTTTAATGATGATATTTTCCTGTTTTCAGTTCCTCTTTTACTAAGAAGCATGGTTCTATATTTAAATCTTTAATATTCTTATTTTGAAGTCAATTCCACGTATCTTTGCTTCACATGTTGGTTTTCTAATAGAAACTGAATCTGCACCCTAATAATAAAAATGTGTTTTTCAAAGCTTCCTGGTTTTCTGAAGATTTCTTCTTTGATTCTTTTCTTTACTTTTATACTTTGAATCTGTTTATTTTCAGGCTTCGGTGTAAAAAAATAATGAGGTTTAATTCTATAAATCATAATTTTGAAAATAGTGTTTCCTCATCATTAGTTTATTAAAACGAGTTCTGAAACATTTTAATGTCACAAAAAAAGAAGTAAAATGGGACCGTTAGCTAACGGTTAGCGCTGCATTCGGCGCGCCACAGTGACCTCAGCAAAGAATCCTCCTCACTTCTGTAAATGGAAAGTTTAGTGGAAGGAAGAAGTTTGGTATGAAAAAGGTAATAAAAGCCGTGAGACGATTTTGAAGCAAATATTTATATCCAGGCCTCCTGGTTCTAATAATGCACTGGAAAAAAACATCTAGAAATAAGTAGAAATGTGTTAAATTAAGTGGATTTAGCCTTAATTTGAGTCGGTAAATGACATGATCTGCCAATGGAATGAGTGTTTTTAACTCTTAAAATAAGATATTTAGATCTTGAAATAAGACAATGCAATGGTGTTATTTAAAATGTAAATTGTGTTGTTCTATTGGCAAAATGTCTCCTTTACCTCCTCAAATTAATTTTTTTTATTTTTTCCAGTGTGTAAAGGAAGTCCAGGTCTGTCTCCTGTAGACTGTAAAACATGTAAATCTAAATAAGTCCTTTTATTCTTTAAATAAGTGCATTTTTTTTCTTGAACTTAGGAGGTAAGGTAGGTAATCTCCATGGATTAGTTTTCTCCTTTCTGCTGTGTTTGACCTCATCATGTGGGATCTGTGTGCGGGTCAGCAGACGGCCTGGCTGAGAGAAAAAGGAAAACCGCAGCTGCTGCACTAACTGAGACTAAAAGAGGAAACGGAGCTACACAGATGTATTTACGGCATGTTGCATGAATCTGCTGCTTTTCCCAGGTGAACCATTCCTCTCAGCAGTCTGAGGGACAGAAATGAGTCTGTGCTGCTGGAGGAGCACATCTGGGGCAAAGCTGCGTGAGACCTGAGGCCTTCTGGCTCAAGTTAAGCATCTGTTTGGCCCATCTGAGAGCAGAGATGGACCAACTGTCCTGGATGCTGGGAGAGCTGACAGCAGCGAAGCTCCTAAAAAGGAAGAGCCGAGGCGCTCTCTGTAAATATCCCTCAGGTCTGAGAAAGGCCTAGGAAGGGAGCTGGAGAGGAAGAGGGAAGCGGATGGATTGCAGCCTTATATGGACACAGTGCTGCTGTTCCCATGGTCTGTGGCTCTGACAACCGGCAGGATGCCAGAAGCTGCACAGAACGGCTCCCTGGCGCCACCTAGAGTTTCAGCTCATGTATTGCTTTTATCCGGCTGGGAAAATGGAAACATTCGCATTTTCATCCATTTTCTTAAATTTATAACTAATGGTTTCAGATTTAACTTTGCGTCATCTTGAAAAACTTATATTTTTGGTACGTGGTGAGCAACAAGTTGGGGCAGCACCGAGTCCGACCACAAAGAAATTGTCTGGATGAAACTAATTATTTTGATCTTTTTTATTTTTCATACCAACAGCCCAAATGGAAATGAGCTTAATTAAAAAATTATTCCTCTGGTAAAATATTGAAGCCGAAATTTCTACTTAAATAAGGCAACCAAGTACTTATCAATTCTAATCAGTTTATTTCTATAGCTCCAATTCACATCATGTCATCTCAGGTCACTTTCCAGTTCACCAGATCATCCAGTCAGATTGATTCAAAGTTTTCTATCTAAGGAAAACCAGCTGATTGCATCGACTCATTGACTCTTCAGCAATCCCTCACACTAAGCATGCTTGTAGCGACAGTGGAGAGGAAAAACTCCCTTTGAACAGGAAGAAACCTCCAGCAGAACCAGGCTCAGTGTGAGCGGCCATCTGCTGAGGCCCACTGGGGTTCAAGGAGACAGAAGCAGACATAGAAAAAGAAGCATAGATACAAAAGGCAACTGTCAACCAGCTCCACAGGCGGCCCCGTCCAGGAAACACACAGCCAGGCAGACGAGCTCCGAGCCAGCTCCCATGTCAGAGGATGAAGAGAGCACATCCAGTTAGTCACAGTCAGAGAAACAGGACTACACTGGAAAACAGGCCAAGCTCCAGCATCTAGAAACATCTCTCACTTTGGACTTCTTTACTTGAAACCTCTGTTTAAAAATAAGTACAAATTCTTAAAATGCGTATATTTACCCTTAAGTGGAGTAAATAAGATGATCTGCCAAAGGAATGAGTATTTTTACTCTTAAGATAATCTGATAAAATGAACTAGAAATTTTGAAATCAATTGTTTTTTTTTATTTTAAATGTAAATTGTTTTATTTCATTAGGAAAATGTCTCACCTGCTTAATTCAAGAAAAAACACACTTTATTCAAGAACCCACAGATCCACCGTGGGAACATGCAGAGTCCAAGCAGAAAGACCCCAGGTCAGGAATCGAACCCAGAACCTTCTTACTGCCAGGCAGCAGTACTACCCACAGTTCCACTGAGCAGAGCGTCTCACATCTATACATTTTTATTTTTCATTGTCCTTTAATCATTGAAAACAGTTTCATTCTGATTTAGTGCAGCAGGCAGATTATTTCAAGCTGTTTTGTGTTTTCAGTTTTGATTTATTGATGTATGAAGATGAACTAACGGAGTTATAAGAAGTAACCCTATAATGCTGCATAATCTCCAAGATTAAACTCCATTTATTCAGAGAGATTTAGAATAATCCCCAGCGACACCGCTAACAGCACCTTTCACCATGCTGTAAATAAGATATTACAGAAAAAACTGTTTTAAAGTAAACTTTACATTTTATAGGGCGTCAAAGCGAGACGTGTTTTATTGTGAGAAGTTATTTCTGTTTCTGCATCATTTTAAAAATGTTTGTACTGAAAATGCTTCCATTTACCTTCAACCCTGTAAAACGTTTCACCAACAGAGACTCAGGGCGTCATTTTTTAGATCTTCTGATTCAGATAAATGAGTTTCTGCAGGAGGAAATCTGCACTGCAAAAAATCGAAATCTAGATAAGTCATTTTTTTTCTTAAAATAAGTGCATTTGTTCTTGAATTAAGGAGGTAAAAGGGACATTCTGTCAATGGAACAAGACAATTTACACTTAAAATAAGAAAACACTATTGCATTGCCTTATTTCAAGTGCATATTATCTAATTATCTTATTTTAAGAGTAAAAATACTCATTCCATTGGCAAACTATCTCATTTACCTGCTCAGATTAAGGGTGAATACACTTAATTAAGGATATTTTTGCTTATTTCTAGATCGTTTTTGCAGTGTGAAAAACATATTAAACATTAAACTTGATGATTAAAGCAGGTAAAAAAAAATGTTTGTCTTTTTACTAAAAGAAAATGTTTAATTTAAAGGTTGTTTTAACACATTTATACGATGTGCAGGTCATTCTAATCCACTTTCACACTTTGCTGCAGATCAGTGCTAATAGTGTAACATTGGGAACCAGTTAAGCCCTAAAACTGCCGTACATGTCGACATCCATAATAAAACTTTCTGATTTGATTTCAGAGTTAAATCTTTTTTTTTTTTTCAAACTTATTGAAGTTTTTACTGCATTTTAGTTTGTAGCTTTTAAAGCTGCAGCAGGACGTCACAGAAACCACCACCTTTCACTGACTTTGTTTGTGTCACAATCAGCGCAGCAGGTCGGACACCTTTTATGGAGCTCTACTTCCACTCATCTAATAAAATAATCATTCACAGCCGGGAACCAATGCAGCACATTTAACCCCTGCAACGTCCTAAACTCAAAGGAAACATCAGAGTCTAAAATGTTCCTTTATGCTTATTGAGAATGAGCAGATTGTTAGATTTTATTGAAAAGTTTCAGATTAATAAAAATATTTTAAAAGGTTTAACTTTTAAATTTAATATTAAAGAGAACAAGCATGTTTAACAGTTCTAAGAATAATCTTTTTTTATGGTAACCTGCACTGGAAAAAACATCTAGAAATAAGTACAACATCTTTAAATGAAGCGTATTTACCCTTAATTTGAGCAGGAAAATGTGATAGTTTGCCGATGGAATTAGTATTTCCACTCTTCAAATAAGATAATTAGATATTATGCACTTGAAATAAGACAATGCATTCGATTTTTCTTATTTTAAATGTAAATCATCTTGTTCTATGGCTAAAGAGTCTCACTTTCCTTCTCATTTTAAGAAAAAAATGCACTAATTTTCAGAAAAAATGACTTATTTAGATTGTAATTTTTAGCAGTGTGGTTGCAATCTGATGCTAACAGTTAAATATTTTGTATGTGTTTGAGCTTGGTTTATTTCCCAGAAAATAATATCAATAATTGCTCTTAAACTCAGACTTTTAAACATGGGAAATTTTTCCAGATTCCCCAAAATCTATAAGAAAAAATCTATAAGAAATCTGTTAGAGATGATGATGTTCTTTATAGGGCCCCCAAATCTGCTTAGGGCCCCAAAGAACCTTTGTCCAGCCGTCATTACAAACCAGACCTCTGTTTAATATCAGGAATAATTGTTAAATATCCTAGAATATATATAAAACAAACAAAGAGGTTTTTTTTTTGGTATAACTCTTAATAAATGAACCACTTTGATTTCCAAGCTATTTTTACATTTCTCATATTTAATGAAGGGGGATTTTTTTATTTTTTTATGCAGCAGCAAGTTATTAATCTAATTGATTAATAAATGACCGAAATGATGTGAGAAAAGGACTAAAGATCACCTCTCCTCATATATGCGACATTTTTGCCTTTTTTTACTGGGGAATCCCACCCAGAATGTCAGAATGCAGATCAACACGGTTTGACTGTCATGGCCGCCGATGCACTGAGACATTTCTGCAGTCTGTTTGTCTTTGACTCATTTTATTTCAGCTTTTTATTATTATCTACACTGCAAAACTGTCTAAAAACAGACGAGTCCAAAGTATTCATGTTTATTCCTCCAGTATAAATCCTACAGTTTAAAAACACTTTTATAGAAGTTAGAGGATCAACTTCAGCTTTTTACTCCAGTAAAAGTGTAAAAGTACCATTTTTAAAACTACCTAAAGTATAAAAGTATTCCAGGAAAAACTGTTAAGAAGCTTTACTGCTCTACTCTATTAAAGGAACATTTTTCTATAATTCTGGATGATAAATTCCTTAGACTTTATTTTATTAGTTTTATGACTAATGGTAACAGCGTCACATTTAACTTTGCATCATCTGAAAAAACTATTTATTTTGGTTTGTGGTGAGCAACAAGTTGGGGCAGCACCGAGTCCAACCACAAAGAAATGCATTTTTTTTAATGGTTTTTATTTTTTTTAATACCAACAGTCCATAATGAAAATCAGCTTAAATGAAAACATAATTCCTTTGGTAAAATATAGAAGCTGAAATTTCAAAGTATTTGTAATTTGTTACTTGAGACCTCTGTCTAAAAATAAGTAAGAATTCTTAAAATGCGTATATTTACCCTTAAGTGGAGTAAATTAGATGATCTGCGAAAGGAATGAATATGTTTACTTTTAAAATAAGATAATTAGATATTATGAACTTGAAATAAGTCAAAGTTATTGTTTTTTTCTTATTTTAAATGTAAATTGTTTGATTTCTTTGGCAAAATGTCTCACCTGCTTAATTCAAGAAAAAATGCATTTTACTGAAGAAAAAACAACTTTAAATGTTGCAGTGCAGGACATAGATCAACAAAAGTAGTTTACACCCTGGAAAAACCATCTAGAAATAAGGAAATAATAGTTAAATTAAGTGTATTTAACCTTAATGTGAGTAGATAAATGAGAAAATTTTCCAATGGAAGGAGTTTTACTCTTTTTTTACTCTTTTACTCTTACAATAAGATAACTGGATAACATGTGCTTGAAATTAAACAATGCAATTGTGTTTTCTTATTTTAAATGTTAATTCTCTTGTTACAACGGCAAAAAGACTCTTATCTCCTCAATTCAAGAACAAATGCACTTATTTTAAGAAATAAATGACTTATCTAGATTTTGATTTTTTCCAGTGCAAATATGAATTTATTTTTAAAGTATCTGCATCAATCTTCCACGTCTATATTTCTTAATTTGTTTGAGCAAAAACTTGGTCTGATTGATCAGAGAACATCTTTTAACAGAAAGTTTAATATCTAGATGGATTAAAGCCTGGATTAAAACAGGTCCATTTGGGACTAATTAGCTGCAGACAGAGAAGATGATTTAGATGATTGCATTAAGTCATAAACATTGTGACCTGTAGGGTATTTTTGCAGCCAAGTCAGGCCCTCCTGCTGCTCAAACATTAAACATGCAGACGCTGACAGAAGCCTTTTAAGATCAATATCCAGAGTAGCAAAAGACATCATAATGAAATCTATCGAGACTTTAAGTCCTTCCTGCACAGCTGTGTTGAGACAGACTGAGATGCATCGTCAAACTGCAAAAAATTTCAATCTAAATAAGTAATTTTTCCTTAAAATTAGTGCATTTGTTCTTGAATTGAGGAGGTAAGTGAGACGCTTTGCCAATGGAACAAGACAATTTACATTTAAAATAAGAAAAAACAATTGAATTGTCTTATTTCAAGTGCAAATGATCTAATTATCTTATTCTAAGAGTAAAAATACTCATTCCAATGGCAGATCATGGTATTTACGCGCTAAAATGAAGGGAAAATACACTTGATTGAACACATTTTTCCTGCTTTCTGGATGGTTTTTGCAGTCCATGTTAAATCCATGCCAGGTTTTTCAGCATACCGAAGTTGGGTCCAGGTTTTCCCTGCAGCAGCAGTGAGGCCTCCTCTTCCTGCTGATTTACTGCAAAAATAACTTGGAGGCTCTTTGTGAACATCTTGGTTCTGCTTTTGTCTTCGAGCGGATTGACATCAGAGCAGGAAGCTTCATCATGTAAAGAAGAGGAAACTTCTTCAGGTTGTTTTTTCTTCTTTGTTTCAGTTGCAGCTTCATGTAATGTTGCTGATGATGCACTGGAGATAAAACTGATCACTGAGGTTTTAGGAAAGTTTTCCAACTCATTTTCAGTCACTTCAACTTAAACCTTTATCTGTTTATTGCTAAATCTGCATCGTTTATGCATCTCACTGCAGCAAACAGTTTACATCTGGTCATCTTGTGACACTAAAGAGGTCAAAGTTCACAGCCTCTAGAATTGATCCATTGTCTTATAATGATGTTAAAGAACAAATGCTTGATTTTTGTCACATTTTAAACCTTCATATTATCTAATAAAACATACATTTAGGTAAAGATAAGCAAATTAAATACAAAAAGCTTTTTTAAATGAGTATTTACTGAAGGCGAAAGGTTTTCCAGGTCAGAATGGACATCAGTTTGTTTAAGTGCATTTATTGAGTCACACCAAGTAAAGCTTCTGACTGACAGACCTGCTGAATCAGAAAATCCATCCAACTGAACCCATCTGGCAACAGGAAGTAGAAAATGTTTGGAAACAATCATTGATGTAGTTCTGGGACTGAATCATAATGAGATCAGCGCACTGGGAAAAATCTAAATCTAGATAAGTCATTATTTCTTAAAATAAGTGGCTTTGTTCTTGGATTGAGGAGATAAAAGAGACATTCTGTCAATGGAACAAGACAATTTACATTTAAAATAAGAAAAAAAAATTGAAATGTCTTATTTCAAGTGCATTTTATCTAATTATCTTATTCTAAGAGTATAAATACTCATTCCAATGGCAAATTATCTAATTTACCTGCTCAAATTAAGGGTAAATATGCTTAATTTAAGAAATTTTTATTTATTTCCAGATTTTAGCAGTGCACCTTCTTCTCCTTTGACTATCTGAGCTGATGTAACGAGTACATTTCTCCAGTGTGAGATCAGTAAAGTCAATCAATCAATCAATAAAACTCTGATTGATCACTGTGGGCTTCATTTGCCTCTTATGGGTTCAGTGTTCATGATTCAACAGTAAAATATAAACTAGGTAACAATTATTTGGGAGAAAAAACCCAACAAAGACCAGAAAGAAAAACAAAGAACTCTCTGTTCAGGGGCGGAGCTAGATGGGGGGCCAGAGGTGGCCATGGCCACCCTTAGCTAATCATTGGCCACCCCTGTAGCCACTCCTACCAATTTTCACTCTAATACAGATGTTGGCAGTAGTAATAATCTCAAGTGGAATGTTCAGTTCAATTCAGTTTATTCCTATAGCGCTAATTCACAACACGTCATCTCAAGGCACTTTACAGTTCAACCAGATCATCCAGTCAAGTTCTAACTTTATTAACATTTAAATCTTTCACATATTAACAGGTTCTTGACAACAAAAACACTGCGATTAATTACTAACATACAAAGATACAGAATAAATGCTCCTTTCAGAACTAGAGCCCCCTCAGTGTACATTGGTCATTGCCTGGCCATCAACATTTTCTGGCTACGCCTCCGTCTCTGTTTGACAAAAAAACATCCTGGATGAAAAAAAAACACAATCCACTGGACTTTGTTTCCAAGTTTAAAGACGTTTCTCTTCCATCCAGGAAGCTTTTTCAGAAATAGCGTTGAGTTCCAGGTCCAAAGGGGGGGACCCGTTCATCCGTTTCTATTTGCATGTTTTCTAAACTAAAACCAGGCTTTGTTGGGCTGCTGGATAAAACCTGGAACTAAACGCTATTTCTGACATTTGGAATTGAAAAATCTTCCTGGATGGAAGAGAAACGTCTTCAGACTTGGAAACAAAGTCCAGCGGATTGATTTAAACCGTTTTTGGAATGACTGACCTGGATGACTGGGAATCTCCACCAGCATCCTGGATGATGAACTGGATGTTTGGGGAAAGCTGTGGGGCCAAGAGTAACGTGTTTAAAAGGTCTCCAGACTCTGATGATCTAAATAGAACATAGATGTTTGATAAAAGACATGATATGATAGTAGAACGTGTTAATTGAGTTGTGGACGATGGGCTTTAACAGCGTTCCTTCCTCTGGACTTTGGTAAATTGATGATGCATTTAATTCTCAACCAGAAAAGAAGAACATCTGCTCACCAGTTTGTCACCTTAAGCTAGAAAACACAACAAAACATTGATCCAAAGCCCATTTCTGAAAAAAAGAAAAAACTGAAAAAAAATTTCGGGTGTGGCCTAGTCAAATCCTCCTGAGATGTGGGGGTTCCTGAGCAAATAACTGAAATCTCAATAAGTAATTTTACGTAAAATAAGTGCATGTTTTTTAATTGGGGAGGGAAGTGAGACACTTTGCCAATGAAGCACGACTATTTATGTTTAAAATAAGAAGAAAAAACAATTGCATTGTCTTATTTAAAGTGCATATTCTCTAAATCATCATATTTTAAGAGTAAAAAACTCATTCCATTGATAAATCATCTTATCTACTCAAATTAAGGCTAAATACACTTAATTTAAGACATTTTTACTTATATCTAGATTGTTTTTGCAGTGTCGACCTAAACAGAAACTCTCCAGTGTAGCAGAGTTATTTAGTTCTATAGATCCGCTCTCATTTAAATCATTTCTTTACTTTAATGACTTATTACCAGTTTCACCAACATAAAATGGCTTTTTGAAGCAGGTTTAAGGATCAGATGAGTGATCCCATTGGGTCAGGCTGGTTTGGATGGTTTTTCCTTCATAAATAAATAAAAAAGGATTAATTTGGAGAAAAGAAATAGGAAGCTTTTTTATTTTATAAAAAATGTAGGTTTTCTTTGATTATTTTAGTCAGAAACATTAAGAAGAAAAAGGCTGAAACAGATAAAACCTTTTCAGCATCACTCTGCAGCTGTAATCACGTCATTAACTGTGTTTTCTCCCCCTGATGAAGCGACAGTGAGAAGAAAAACCTGCACAATGTCCCGTAACTCAGACCCGTACATCTTCACCACCGACACCCTCCCCAGCGACCTGCGTTTCCTCCCTCCTCTTGCAAATGGCCTCCTGGGCTGGAAGGTGTTCAGCAGCGTCATGCACATGGGTGGAGTTTATAACGGGGAGGCTGGACACTGCCACCGCGCCGACGTCCCCTGTCCTCTGGCTGTGAAGATGGAGGCAGAGGACCCCGCTCAACACAGCTACACCCTGGACACCCACACAGGTCATCCATACAGGAAGTGAGCCTCTAGTTCACGCTGAGGATGTTTACCGTCATCTCTTCACCTTCAGGTGTTTTCTGCCACACGCTGAGCTCAGCAACGGAGACCGCCACCCAGTCGCTGTATTCTCATCGCTTTTACCCCAACATCTTGGTGATGGAGGTTCTGTTGGAACGCCACGTGACCTCAGAGGAGGCGGTTACAGTTAATCTGGTCAGCTCATTCACCCCTCAGAGCAAAGACATTCACTTTGAGTCCTGTCCGGACTACAAAGGTGGAAGGTGAGACTGTGACGTATTTTTACTCTCATTAAAAGACCCTCAGGAGAACGAAGGGGCAGTTTGGATGCATTAAAAAAGAAGCAAAAAGAAAGCCGCTGCATCAAGAACACGCGTCATGGGAGCCGCAGGGACTTTAGACATGCAGGATGTGGTTCTTTCAGAGGCAGATTTCTGACTTATACAGTGAATACTGCCTTGTTCCAATGTTTGGCGCCGTGGAACGTTTTGTATTAAACATATCCAACCCTTAAAGGTATTGCGGAGGATTTTCTCGAAGTTCTTAAAAGACCCACTTAAAAAAGAAAAAATGCATGTGCGAGAGCGTGCACCAGCCCATTCCTCCTCGTGCACGCTCTGTTTAAAAGTAGCTGTTCTCATTGCAGCTCACTGTGTCCGTCCACCTTAACCCCTAAATCCCTCCATCACTATAGAGCGGGGACTCTATAGTGAACTTTATAGTGAAATCAGTTAACTGACCGTTCAAGCAGATGATCACTGCTTTTTGCTACGTTGGTCACTAACTCCGCCTCCACCGCGCGGTGCCATCTTTGTTATTAGTCGCCGCTGTCGGGTAGCGACAGCCTATGGCGACAGGCAGCAGCCGTGACAGTAATTCCCATAATGCTTTGTGAGGAGAGCTCTCAGTGCAAAGCATTCTGGGATATATCTGCCCTTCTGAGGCCTTTCTCTCCTTCTCATACACTTCGTAGACGCATTTTCTCTTCCGACCTTCGGCCATATTTCAAAGAACAAGGGTGAGAAAGGTGAGCTTCAATGACTGTCTGAAACCGTAGCTCTACACAGATATACGCCTGAAAGTGCGCAGAAACAGATACGGTAGCTTAAGCCGAGCATACACTGTACGGTATTTTGAATCGCTACAGCTCCCACCGTACGACGAAACCACAGCGTTTAAAAGTTCTCAGCTCACCATGTTTGTTCTCTCACTGTGCGACCCGACGCTCTGATGCGATCTACCTGCTCACACTGTATGTCTAAAAACCAGGTGGGACTCAGCTCCGCAGTGAGATGGCGCTACTGGGACTCGTCTATCCGGAAGCCAAACCAGTAGCAGAGGAACATGAAGCTCACTAGAGTGAAACGCGCTGCCTTGGATATAATTTTGTCCCTAAAAAGAAAAGGAGACGACGTCTTTGGACAAAGACATGGCTGAGCTAACGTGGCTACTACGGTCTGACAGTTTGACAGAAAGAACTCCATTTCACTCATTGCCCCCCCGCCATGCTGCTGGGTTTTTATCTGAGAGGAAGAAGAAGAAGAATCCTTGTTTGCCCACTGAGCCATTTGCCCACGACCACCTTAAGATGGCCGACTGAAAATCAAACATGTTTGATTTTCTCACGACCTTACGGTTTCTGATGGGGGGGGGGGTCGTTAGAGGCTGACCGCCCATCATTACCCCCTGTTCACTACACCACGCACCATCAGGCTGAAAGACGGCCCGATCGAAAAAATCTCGCCGGAAAAAGGACAAAACATCGTACAGTGTATGACCGGCTTGACGGGGCGAGGACGTGGGACGGCCTTACAGTACGTAAACATATCACCAGAATGATTGACAGTTAGGAGGACCTCTTATTGAGATGATCCACCTGGAAATAAAAGATCCTCCTCTATAGCTTTAACATTTAATTAAATCTGCAAACTCTAAAAACTGTTTGGTTTTTTTTGTTTGTTTTTTCCATGAAAATTTCTCGAATCTGCACCACATTTTGTTGACTTATCTTAAAAAAATAAAGTCTTAAATGTATTCCTAAAAGCCTGTGGCGGTGATTACGGATCATGTTTGAAGACTCTTTTGTCTCTGACGTCCATCCAGGCACATTGAAGGACAAACGACCACGGCTGAATTCCCCGGAGGCTTCTGTCCCACCGTCCATCTTATCTGGACGCCCGTTCCTTCCTCTCTGACGCTGCTGCCGCAGCAGACAAACGCTCGCTGGGGGTTCTTCCTGGTCGTGGCCAACAGCTTAGAAGCTGCCACGTCCAGCTATGATGAGGGCTTGAACCTGATGGTGACCGGAGACCTTCGCCCGTCTCATGAGGAGGCCTGGAAGGAGCTGTGGCTGCAGAGCAAAGTGGAAGTAACGGGTTCTGAGACCCTCTGCAAAGCTCTTATCGGCTGCATGTTCTATCTTCTTAGCGCCTTCCCGTCCATCCATGACACCTCCAGCTGCTTTGGAGGGGTGAGTCCAGGCGGGCTCTCGAATGGCGGCGACGGCCAGGATTACTGGGGCCATGTTTTTTGGGATCAGGTGAGGCTCCCGCTCGCCGATTGGAACCTTTGCTGTTTATGTCGATGTGAATCCCACACAGAGCCCCTTTCTTCCTCTCAGGATGTTTGGATGTATCCAGGAATTGCTCTTTTCTACCCTAAGCTCGCCCGATCTGTGCTGGAGTACCGAGTGGGAACGATAGATGGCGCAAAAGACAACGCCCAGAAGCAGGGCTATAAGGTACAATGGGTGTGTTTGATTTCAGAGGCTGCGTCCTGCGACCCAGTCCAGGTAGACCGGGTCCTTGGAGCTCCATGAAAATAAGGAGGTTTGTGGATTCGAATAGGTCATGCCCTCTCCGGCTTTCACCACCTGTGTGCTCTGTCGCCTAGCAACCGTGAAAGTTGACACACGGAGCAGGCAAAGAATGGATGCCGAACTTCTCACTGCGGCTCTGGGTGCTAATAAAATTTTGGATGAGCTTCAGCAGCGGTACCGTCGTCTCAGATATCAGATTTATAGTCTCAACACTGCAGAGATATTAGAATCTGATCTTAAATGCAAAACCTTTCAATAAACCAAACATTATCTGCCAAATATCTGACTCTAACCGTAAAAAAAACTATTTTCATTCATTTCTATTCATATACTTGGATTATATTAAGCTGCACTTCCAATATTCTCCACTGGTCGGCGCCATTTCCCTTTTTCCTCTGAGCATGGAGCAGCCGGTGTTCTTGTCAGATGAGCGTACATATTGTTAATACCCGGTTATCCCTTTAGTTTTATGTGAAAAATGACTTTAATCTACCTCAACGGGCGTGTATCCCTTTAGTCGTTTACAAAACCCAGTTTATTTACTTACTCTTTGGTGTTTTTAAATAACTAAACTAAATGGATACCCGCCCGTTGAGGTATTTTAAAGTCTATTTTTTGTACGAAACTTTAGGAATAAATTCTAATTTGACGTCATGTGCATGCGTGTTGACTATGGGTATACTGATCTGACAGAACACCGGCTTGCTTGGACTCCCAATGAATCATGGGATACCAGGAGGATACAGCGGACCGTCCTTCAAACGGGCTAAAAGAAGGAGGTATTTGTCAGCCGCATAACAAGGAGTCTTCCAATCCGAACAGGCCTCGGCGTCGCGCTATGATGTAATCGGCAATCTGGCCTTCGGAGGACGCATCCCCTGAATTCAAACTCAGCCACCATTCAAAAAATCACTAATCTGTCACAAAACCTTGGTTATTTCAGATCTTTCCTTCTGTCTGTAGCAGTTAGTTCTTTACTTCAGTTGAATGAGGAATACTTTAGTTTAAAAAATTAAAGAAGAGTTTATACTGGGTTCAAATAATGTCAGGAAAATTCTCAAATCAAGATACAAACTTGTCCAGGTGGTCAGCAGCACTCTGCTGCATGCAGGTCAGCTTCCATATTTTAACAATCAGAAACGACAGCAATGTGTGAAGTCTAAGAGCAGATTCTATCTTCCAGGGATTGAAGTTCCCATGGGAGAGCGCCGTGTCTGGGAGAGAGGTGTGCCCAGAGGACATCTATGGGCAACAAGAGATCCACATCAACGGAGATGTCACGTTGGCCTTTCAACACTATCTCTACCTCACTGAGGTAGCCCCCCCCACCCCCGCTCTGCATCACATGGCCTTCCTCTGGATGACTAGATGTGCTGTTTGTTGCAGGATCTGTCCATGTTCACAGAGGGAAAGGGCAGCGAGGTGATCTACGGAGTGGCTGATTACTGGGTTTCTAGGGTAACATTTAACCCTGACGACAAGAAATATCACCTGCTTGGTAAGAATTAAGGCCAGAACACAGAAAACCATGTGAATTCTAATCAGTTTATTTCTATAGCTCCAATTCCCATCATGTCATCTCAGGTCACTTTATAGATCCAGATCATCCAGTCAGATTGATTCAAAGTTTTCTATCTAAGGAAAACCAGCTGATTGCATCGACTCATTGACTCTTCAGCAATCCCTCACACTAAGCATGCTTGTAGCGACAGTGGAGAGGAAAAACTCCCTTTGAACAGGAAGAAACCTCCAGCAGAACCAGGCTCAGTGTGAGCGGCCATCTGCTGAGGCCCACTGGGGTTCAAGGAGACAGAAGCCGACATAGAAAAAGCAGCTGCAAAAGGCGGCCCCGTCCAGGAAACACACAGCCAGGCAGACGAGCTCCGAGCCAGCTCCCATGTCAGAGGATGAAGAGACCACATCCAGTTAGTCACAGTCAGAGAAACAGGACTACACTGGAAAACAGGCCAAGCTCCAACATCTAGAAACAAAGGTGTTGATGGCAGCAGCACAGCTGATATTTCTCTCCAGGATGGAGTCACAGCCAAACAGGAACAGACCAGATGAAGCTACTATGAGAAAAAGCAGAGAGAGCAGAACGTTAGAGATTGAACTAACAGATTCTGCAGAGTGGGAGAATAGAGATAGAATGAAGCAGAATGATGAAAAAGGGGTCCCTATGTCCTCCAGCAGTCTAAGCCTATAGCAGCAGAACTATAGAGATAGCTCAGGATAACCTGATGTTAAAACAAGGTGGTGGCGTTTAGTGCTTATTGAGAGTCAATGGGGATGATTTCCTGCAGGGGGCAGCGTAGCTCCAACTGAGATAGAGCCCAGGTCTATTTTAGTCGGACTACGCAGCAATTCAGCAGCAATTTCATGGTTCTGACGGGAAGAGAGACGTGGTTTCAAATTAAAACGCATCAGCTTTGGGAGAAAATCCAAAATAAAATCTGTTAATCTCACGGAGAAAGAGTCAGTTTGGAGTCACACATCGTGTTTATAGTGAGCAGGACAGACTGGAGCAAAAACAATTAATGAAACAATAAAATAGAAACTTTCCCCATGATAGGAGTTGATGAGGACATGCATAGATCTGCTCACCCTGCCTAATCGAGGCCTCTCTATACGCAGTCAGAGGGACATGGAAAAAAATTAGATGAGGGATTAAAAGTCGGACCAATCGGTCTGTTCAGGCCTTAAAGGAACGTCTGCTGATTCTATGATGGGTTTGCTTTTTATTTCATGTAAAGATGGAGCCTTTAGCAAAACATCATAAGTTGCCAGAATAGAACATATGACAAAAAAATGACTCCTAATTTACTTTTACATGTTGAAATGGTCACATAACTTATTTTAATGCTGGAAAACTAGATGTTATTTGTGTCTATAAGAATCTATTTGAACATGAAATGAATATTGGCTGAATCTGTTGTAAAATCGGCCGGTTTAATCTAATCTGTGTAAAAGTCTTACAAGAGATTTAATGAACAGGCAAAACAAGTTAGTTTGATAACTTCCAGTCTATCATCTGCACATATTTAGGAGCTATTTTCCCATTTTCAGTTAAATCTGATTTATTTATTTAGAATAGGTTTTTGGTTGGTGGTTCAATTGATTAGTTATGTAAATTTAATTTGGGACGTGGGTGTTTCACAGTATAAATAGGTAGGTTTAAGGTAGCTCATATGCGTGTGGGTGGTCGAATGTGGTTTTTTTTGTTTTAACCAGTCCTAGTCCCAGTTCCAGTCAGTCAGTTTTGTCATCAGTTTTCAGTCTGCCAGTCAATCAATCAAAGAATAGGTGCAGGAATCAGACAGCAGTAGCAGAGTTCTGTGAAGCTGTAACTTCTTTTTATGAATAAATCAAACAAATAACTGCATTTTGACCCTTTTTTTTTGCACTGGGTAAGCCAAAATCCACGATGCATCAGGTGATTATTTGAGTTAAAATCACCACTTTCTTTGATCACTATTATGTGTTAAGTTCTTTGATGCTTGAATTTGAATTTTGTACTAATAGTCAATACACACATATTCTGCTCTGGTGTGCAAAACCAGTTAATAATATGGTTTACTAAACTAAATATAATAAATATTTTTTTTTAACAAAGGTCATATTAAATACAAATACTCATTTATACAGACATGTATAAAAAAAGATGAAAATGTTGGAAGTTTATGATGCAACTCAAATGGATTAAAGTCATTCAAGGATTGGAAAAATTAGTTAAAAAATCTTTTTTTTTTGTCCATTTTGACCTAGCTTTTCAAGAAATGTGTTCTTTCATTGTTGTATTTCTGCATCATATATGTCATAAGGATTTACCAAATGCTTCATCTTCTTGCATTTAGGCGTTATGCCACCAGATGAATATTACTACAACGTCAACAACTCTGTGTACACAAACACTGTGGCCAAACTCAGGTATGCGATTCAAACATTAGCAGAAAACCTGAACTCTGCATTTATTGGCACCTTTGGTAAAAATCTGCAGAAAGATCTAGATCCTATTCCAAATATTTGAACCAAATCCTTAAAGTAGGATTTAACTTTTTCCAAACTGCTGAGATGGTCTAGAAGCTTTTATTTTTGTAACCTGTGGTTTCCTGTTTCCTGGATATGAATAGGATGGGTTCAAAATGCTGTAAGCTGCTCTTCAAAGTATAAAAGAAAAAGGTTTCTAGTGTCTTGAAATTATGATCTGATTATATAACATTTAAGATTTAGAGGATTTTTTTTACCAGGGGCCTCAACAGATCAGAGTGACTTTATTTTTTGTGCTTTATAACAGAAGTATGTTTTCTGCTCTTAGTCTCCAGTTTGCCGTTGAGCTGGCGGATCTTCTTCAACATCCGGCACCAAACGAATGGAGAGAAGTTGCTGAGGGTATCAGCATACCTTTCGACCAAGAGTCGCAGTTCCATCCTGAGTTTGACGGCTACAGTAAAGGTCAATGTCTGGACTTCTTTTACACCAAACCAGTCAGCAGGATCAAACATTCATCCAAATGTTTGGTGCCAGCAGGTCAGCCGGTGAAGCAGGCCGACACAGTGATGCTGGGGTATCCCCTCGGCCTGCCGATGACGCCCGAGGTTAGGAGGAATGATCTGGAAGCTTACGAACCAGTCACAGACCCAAACGGGCCGGCCATGACATGGGTGAGTTATTCCGTTTATTTTCATAGCCTGGACTGGCGATAGCTGCACTTTATGTAAACTTTACAGACTGCATACTTTTTGTTGCTTTATATTGTCTACAGATTTTCTTCTGAGAGTGTTTTACTTATTTTTTTATATTCTTATATTGAATTTTAGTTAAACACAGTAGTCTAGTTGTAAAAAAAAACAACAACACGTGGATGTTTTTTTTATTTTTATTTTTTTGAAAGCATATGCAGCCTAATTAAAGAAAAAAGTCCAGTCGGTAGGAATAATCAGTGGATCATTATTTATACCTAAAACTAATACATTCACAGTGATTTAATTAATTTACTATTAATCAGTAATAAAATAAAAACTATTTTCATTGCGATCACTGAGTCTGGGAGCGGCCATTTTTGCCCAAATCTAGTAGCCCCTCCCTCCTGCCATCTTCCAGCAGTGACGTCACGGTGCGGTAAGCCTAGCGCCATTCTCCCCGCTTTCCAAGCTAAATCAATGGGAACTACTAGACACATCTGCAATCAACAACAATTATTGAAGATTTCCAGAGGACTTCACCATTGAAATTCACCAGAGCTATAGTGAAACTGACAATGCCCACGTGCATGGCAGCTGGATGCTGGAATACATCGGGTAAAAGGGAAAAAAAAAGAGTTATTCCACCTTTCTGATTCCTGATCCTCCACGGACGGGTTGGTCGTTGGATCGCCAACTTGAAGAGGGAGGATTTGCCATCGAACTTCTGGCCAGAGAAAAAACCCGTAATATGTAGCCAACATTTGGAAGAAGAATGTTTTCAAGATGACTTGGATAATAGCGCGTTGTGACAAACACCAGATACAGCACTGGGACTTGATCAACAGCCGATACCGCACCGTGACGTCACTAACCAGTAGGTGGCAGTAGTGTTCTTTGACAAACATGGATGCCTCCAGTAAAGCACATTCACATGAAAATTACTCTGAATTAAAAACACTGATCATTTATTGAACAGGATGGAATCATTTCAGATTTAAAGAACTTTCAGAAGTTTGGATTCTGAATATAAGCGACTTTTCCTTTAATGCAGCTTAAGGAGGCTTTACAAAGCATTTACCAAATTTACCAACACAAACATAAACCATACAAAATAAGGGATTTGGTTACAACTGTTGAAAAGTAAGTCTACCATATTTGGAAAATGGTACCACCAGCTCTTTCTTCATTCCTAAAAAAAACACCTAAAAATGATCCTAAATCCAAAAGTACATAATGTGTTTATTTCAAACATTTGATAAACTGATTTGTCTTTCTATGTTGCTGTAGACCTTCATTCCAAAGTGCCAATAAATAAAAAAAGACGAATGAATTAATTTTCCTTTCTATTGTCAGGGAATGTTTGCCATAGGCTGGCTGGAGCTGGGTGAAGCTGACAAAGCTCAACGTTTACTTGAAAAATGCTTCAAGAACATCCAGGGCCCATTTCAGGTATGCTGTGACTCGCTGTGACTCGCTGTGACTCTCTGTGACCCTCTGTGACTCGCGGTGACTTGCTGTGACTTGCTGTGACTCGCTGTGACTCTCTGTGACTCGCTGTGACTCTCTGTGACTCTCTGTGACTCGCGGTGACTTGCTGTGACTCGCTGTGACTCTCGGTGACTCTCTGTGACTCTCTGTGACTCGCGGTGACTTGCTGTGACTCGCTGTGACTCTCGGTGACTCGCTGTGACTCTCTGTGACTCACGGTGACTTGCTGTGACTCGCTGTGACTCTCGGTGACTCACGGCGACTTGCTGTGACTCGCTGTGACTCTCGGTGACTGGCGGTGACTCGCTGTGACTTGCGGTGACTTGCAGTTACTCGCGGTGACTTGCTGTGACTCGCTGTGACTCTCAGTGACTCGCTGTGACTCTCGGTGACTCGCTGTGACTCTCAGTGACTCGCTGTGACTCTCAGTGACTCGCTGTGACTCTCGGTGACTCGCTGTGACTCTCTGTGACTCTCGGTGACTGGCGGTGACTCGCTGTGACTTGCGGTGACTTGCAGTTACTCGCGGTGACTTGCTGTGACTCGCTGTGACTTGCAGTTACTCGCTGTGACTCTCAGTGACTCGCTGTGACTCGAGCTCCCTCGTTGCAGCAGCAGTAATTCAGCGACGGCTTCATCTCCTCTCCCCGTAGGTATGGAGCGAATCATCGGACGGCTCTGGAGCAGTGAACTTTCTCACAGGTATGGGAGGATTCCTGCAGGCGGTGCTGTTTGGCTACACCGGTTTCAGGTCGGTCATTTGTCCTCCCATCATTTCCACTATACAGATGATTAATCTCCTGTCAGCGTTTTACCAGATTTACACGCTGTGTTTAGGGTTCAGAAGGAACGCTTGATCTTTTCCCCGCTGCTTCCGGACGACATTTCTGAACTGTGTCTCCGCGGCATTAACTATCTGGGCAATCAGATGGACTGGCTGCTCAGGAAAGATGACGTCTGCATAATACTCAGGCAGCAGACTGGCAGAGCTGGAAACGCTAACCCCCGTCAGCTGCAGGTTGTCCTGAAGGCATCAGGAGCTAAAATCCCTCTAACAGCAGGTAACAAACATGCAGCAACATGCAGAATAAACAATAAAGTTCTGAAAATGAATTTATCTCATATTTTAATGCTTCACATCTTAAAATTTCAGGACAGCCGGTGACTTTTCCTCGCGAGGCGGGCTATATATGTAAAATGGACCCACCGTCTTCCTGCTGGCCACTTTGAAACAAGATCAATCGCCCTCTTTATTGTGTTTAAAGGAAAACTTGCAAAGTTACTATTTCTGCAATCTTTTGTTACATCTTCCAATTTTCAATGATGAACATGGAAAATAATGCCTAATAATATAAAGGGACAATAGGGGATAATTTAGTATAATTTGTGCTTTAAGCTTGGAGGATATTTTCCCAAATTGTTGTTTTGGTTAATTAAGAAGATAAATATATTGTTTCGTTAACTGGGTTTCTGTGTGGTGGTGAATAAGGAAATGGTTGGAAACATTCTGCTGAAGTTTCTGATAAAACATCTAAAAAAAATAAAAAGTCTTCTCAATGTAAAAACCCTTTATTGTTTGTAAAGAGTTTTAAGTTAGTTATTTTCACAATCGAAGGCACACTGGAATTAAACTGGATCTGGGTTATAAAGAATGGATTTCATAGAAGAATTTTACAGTATGCAGATTTATCTTTTAATTCAAACTGAATAAAAATGTTTTGGGTTCAGAATGTTGATGAGTCAGAAACAATTACCTTATTAATCACTTACAGGAAATTATTTTCAGTGCAACCGTTTACAGAAGAAGAAAAATAATATATATATATAAGACAGAATATAACAAGTAAAATGACATCCCACACAGTAACATTACACCCTTCCCATACAGTGTAAAATAAAATGGAGGAATAAGATAAGTTTCTCCGTATATAAAACCAACAGTATTAACAATCCCAGTGCTGCTCAGCAGGGGCAGATTTAGGAAATTTGAGGCCTTAGGCATAGACAGGCATGGGGGCCCTCTGAAGTGAGAAGACAACACATAAAACAGACTCATTCTACACAAAGAGAAATGTTAATAGAATACAATCATGAAGCAGACAAGATAGAGGAGAGCAGGAGGCGGGGTTACCAATCTACTTGCTCTGGAGAGCAGAGTTCGCTGCTTTTAGATGTTGTCTCCAAAGTCTCCAGTAGCAGAAAAAAAGAGTAGCCGAAGGATTTTTATCAAAAACATAATGTGCACAAATAAGGAATAGTTGTATTAACCATACATGGAAACAGAGTTTTATGGGCCCCCCAGGAACTTGTAGCCCTAGGCAGCTGCCTAGTATTGCCTAATGGTAAATCCCCCCCTGCTGCTCAGTACCAGCACCACTACCTTCCTATGATAGATGGACTTCTAGACTTGTGGTGCAATAAATATATAATATAGATATTTTTTTATTTTAGATATTTCCAGTGTTTTATTGTCATTCAACTGTCACAAGTACAGGGCAACAAAATTCACTCTATGCATTTAACCCATCCCCTTGGGGAGGGGTGGGCTGCCATTGTGGAGCAGTGTTGGGGGTTAAGGGTCTTGCTCAGGGAGCCAGAGTGGCAGTCTGTGGGAGTGGGGCTCCAACTCACAACCTCAGGATTACAAGCTCTTTGTCCTAACCACTAGGCCACCACTCCCCCATATATAAGATAAAATAAAAACAATTCAGGTAGAAAAGTACAATATAAGTTACAATTGGGAGATTTAAGGAGACAGGAATACCAGTGTCTCCCAGCTTAGACTGGTATCAGAGTGCGCTACGTTTGCTGCCAGTAAGTGACGAGATGATCATTGCCAGATGCATTTAACCCACCGATAAAACTATACATTGGCTTTGGTGTTTACTAGTGTTGCACCGATACCAGTATGGGGCGGGGCCCCGATCCAGCTCTAAAAAGCTGGTATCAATATCGGCGAGTACCAACCAATAGGACACCGATACCATTTTGAAAGCCAAAAGTTTCTTCAACTATTGTTGCCCATTCCAGGTCGGCAATAAAAAGTTCTACTGGATTCACTTTGTTTTAGTCTGTTTCCTGCTTCACAAAGGAAGGCAGCAACTGGACATGAAGCCATGATGGTGATTATTCTACATCCAAGTAGGATGCAGTTCTTCATATATACACACATTAATTTCAACAGTATCTGCCAATACTGCACTTGATTCCCGGCCCGAGGTCTTTCTGCATGGAGTCTGCATTTTCTCCCTGAGCATGCATGGGTTCTCTCCAGGTACTCCGGCTTCCTCCCACAGTCCAAAAACATAACTGTTAGGTTAATTGGCTTCTCTAAATTCTCCTTAGGTGTGAGTGTGTGTGAACGGTTGTCTCTGTGTTGCCCTGCGATGGACTGGCGACCTGTCCAGGGTGGACCCTGTCCATAGACAGCTGGAGATAGACACCAGCACCCCTCGTGACCCCACCTGGGATAAAGCGTCTCAGAAGATGGATGGATGGATTAATTTCATACGGACTCTATGGACTATAGTCAAGAAGAAGTTGAACAACACCAAACACAACAATCAAGATGACCTGAAGGCTGCTATCTAAGAAACCTTATTTATTTTTATTTTAATCCTAGTTCCATCCAGATTAAATGTGATTATAAAGGAATTACTCAGAGGAGCTCCAGTTTTATAAATTCAATTCAATTTCAATTCAGTTTATTTATATAGCGCCAAATTCACAACACATGTCATCTCAAGGCACTTTACAGTTCAACCAGATCATACAGTCAAATACGGGTTTATAATAGGATTTTATTTAGTATTTATATCGATTCCTTACTAACTCCAGGCAACGTATTTATGCTGTTTTTTATTTGAGATGAAAGAATAAAATTCCTAAGAATGAAATGCTCAAGTTAAAAGAAAGAAAGATAAAACACAAACAAAAAAAGCAACCTGGGCTTCCACGGCGCCGCATGACACAGAAGCTCATCTGCAACCAGACGGTCTCTGGTTCGTCCATCTTGGTTCTGTTTCAGTCATTGTGCCCTTGGACAAGACACTCCCCCCCCCAGATGGAATCCTGACTGTGGTCAGAGAACCCGGTGGGGGGGGGGCCTGTGTATGATAGCCTCACTTCTATAGGCAGGGCGGGGGTGGGATTCACCATTAGAGCAATACTAGGCAGCTGCCTAGGGCCCCAAGTTCCTGGGGGCCCCATAAAACTCTGTTTCCATGTATGGTTAATACAACTATTCCTTATTTCTGCACATTAATTATGCTTCTGATTAAAATCCTTTGGCTAAAATGCCATCAGAACCATCTGAAAACAAACCATGCAAAGAGCAGTGTTGCCAACTTAGCGCTTTAGTCGCTATATTTAGCCACTTTTCAGACCCCTCTAGCACTTTGATTTCTAAAAAGCTCCTAGCGCCAAATCTAGAGACCTTTTTCTGCTACTGGAGACTTTGGAGACAACATCTAAAAGCAGCGAACTCTGCTCTCCAGAGCGAGTAGATTGGTAACCCCGCCTCCTGCTCTCCTCTATCTTGTCTGCTGTCATGATTCATGCAGCTATTATTTCATCCAAATGAAAATGGAGAACAGATAAGCAGATCATGGCTTGTCTACAGCGAAAAGAAGGACTGGGTTATTTACTTTGGCCTTTTTGGAAACACAGGAAGGAGCAATCAGCTAAGTGAGCTTAGTGCTTGGAAAAAATCTTTCATTCCTTTAGAGACAGCATGAAAAGTCAGCTGAGTACAAAACATAGAGAGGAAAACAAGAAGAAAAGGGACAAGAAGAGAGGGACACAACCTAGAACAGATAACGGATGTCTATTCTATTAACATTTCTCTATCTGTAGAATGGGTTCAGAGGGCCCCCTGCCTGTCTTTGCCTAGGGCCCCACATTTCCTACATCCATCCCTGCTTACATAAAATACATAAAGAAGTAATTTTAACGATTTACTAGGTTTTTATAATGCAGCAATTCCCAACCTGGGGTACGTGTGCCCCTAGTGGTCATTGAGTGCATTGCAAGAGGTACATGAAAATATTTTATTTCATAGGTAGTAAAATAAAATAGGGCTCTGGGATCCGTTCTGCTTTCTGTCGACTTAATAAAAAATTAAACAAGCTTCTATGAACCAAAACGTAAGTTTTTCTTATATTATTGAGTTCAGCTTTAGCCAAGATCCAAAACAGAAATTTAAGTAAAATGCACATTAATAAATACTTTAAAAAATAAATTAATAAATAAAGTTGAAGATTATAACGGACAATAAGTAAATAAGGTAATTATTATAAAGACGAATAAATAAAGAAGCTAATTGAAAGAGATTTATACATTTATGTCTCAGTGTATAATTTAATTTCTACCTACATTTATTTAGTTTATTGCATTTTTAGGGGAAATAAATTGTATGCTTATTTATTTATTGAGAAGATATTTATTTCTGTATTTATTTTTAAATATGATAGAGCTGGTCCTCCACAGAAATCGACCTCAAATCCAAACATAAGAAAGGTTGGGAAAGTTGAGCTAAACATTTAAACCTTCGTCACGGTCCAGCCCACCTGTGAGGAAAGTCTAACCGGGCTGTGATTGGTCATTTTAAAAGCTGAGCCATGAGCCCCGCCTGCGGCTCCGCTGTGTTTGTTTAACATTCATTCAAACCCCGTAGCTAACCTTTTTCTGCTCTTCTGGATACTAGCTCCGCTCACCCTGGACGGCACGGTGTAAACAGCGAGCTGCTCTCACCGCTGAGCCGCTCTGTGATTGGCTACTGAGGTTTGAACATTTTGAAAACGGTTTCAGCGGGTTTCCTGGGAGAGCTGCTGTTGTCTTTCCAGGCTGCTAGGAGTAGATTTTTTACACGCGAGGATAAAGTTTATACCGTTTCGGTCGTTTATTTTGTCGCCAGTATGCGATTGATTTAGTTGTTTGTTTTTTTGTAAATACCAGACCAACAGTCTTCTTTGACGTTTTTAGGAAACGCTGAATATAAGGTAAATATTTAGCATTTTGCTCTGATTGTTGCTGCTGCCTGCCTAGCATGTTCATCTCCAGGTTTTCTGAAGTAGTTAAACATGAAAATAAAGTTTTAGGTTTAATCCCATCTTTATAGTGACTTTATAGAAATGTTTGATTTTAGCTGTTTATTTTCCCATTGCTGTTATCCCAGCAGCTACTTTAAATAGCTTCATTTATACACTTTATTTGTTCAAACCGTTCAGATATAATGAGGGTTTTATGGGTTAGTTTCATACGTTATTGGAAGTTTCCTTTGGTTAAACTAACGTCTAATTCTAATCGGGCTGTGATTTAATCTACAGATAAAAAGTCAGCTTCCTTAATCTTATATCATTTATTGAAAGTTTGTGTTTTTGGTGAATTTCTGTGTATTTTATAATGAATAAAAAGAAAATT